TACAGTTGACCGGGGCAGCTCTAGCAGGGCAGAAATTTGACGAACTGCCTTGTTGGAAAGGTGGCATCCTATGATGGTGCCACATTGAAAGTCACTGAGCTCTTCAGTAAGGCCATTCTACTGCCAATGTTTGTCTATGAAGATTGCATGGCTGTGTGCTCGATTTTATACACCTGTCAGCAACTGGGTGCGGCTGAAAAGCCAAATCCACCAATTTGAAGGTGTGTCCACATAGTTTTGTATATACTGTATAGTGTATGTGGTTGTCCCACATAGCTATCTTAAGAGCATCTGCTAAATTACTTAAATGTAAGGGAGTGTGAGACTGGCAATTAACAGGAGGCATGCGCACTAGGCTAGGCCATCGGCACGTACTGTTCGATGTCCCAGGCCTCAGACGCCCGTGTCTCTGTCTCTCTAGTCTCAACAGACCTCTAACTCTCTCTGAGCTACTGTGGGGCTCAGTAAATTAACAACCTGCCAGTAGACCCCTACGTGTACAGATTACGGACTTCTTTAGCGACTGAATACCATCAGTAGCGATGCAGCCACTCTGCATGTGTACAATGTGTAACTTCAACTTCCTGTGTAGCCTACCTCTAAAGCCCCATACTGTGATGGTAACGGCTTCCTTTTTTTAACCTTTGGATGTTGATCCATGTGACGAGTTGTAAAACCTTTTGAATTTACAGGGTCTTTATTTTTATTTATTCACTTGGCAGAATGGTTATGTACAATGACGGAAAAAAGTATTTGATCCCCTGCTATTTTTGTACGTTTGCCCACTGACAAAGAAATTATCAGTCTATAATTTTAATGGTAGGTTTATTTGCACAGTGAGAGACAAAATAACAACAAAAAAATCCAGAAAAACACATGTCAAAAATGTTATAAATTGATTTGCATTTTAATGAGGGAAATAAGTATTTGATCCTCTCTCAATCAGAAAGATTTCTGGCTCCCAGGTGTCTTTTATACAAGTAACGAGCTGAGATTAGGAGCACACTCTTAAAGGGAGTGCTCCTAATCTCAGTTTGTTACCTGTATAAAAGACACCTGTCCACAGAAGCAATCAATCAATCAGATTCCAAACTCTCCACCATGGCCAAGAACAAAGAGCTCTCCAAGGATGTCAGGGACAAGATTGTAGACCTACACAAGGCTGGAATGGGCTACAAGACCATCGCCAAGCAGCTTGGTGAGAAGGTGACAACAGTTGGTGCGATTACTCGCAAATGGAAGAAACACAAAATAACTGTCAATCTCCCTCGGCCTGGGGCTCCATGCAAGATCTCACCTCGTGGAGTTGCAATGATCATGAGAACAGTGAGGAATCAGACCAGAACTACACGGGAGGATCTTGTCAATGATCTCAAGGCAGCTGGGACCATATTCACCAAGAAAACAATTGGTAACACACTACGCCGTGAAGGACTGAAATCCTGCAGCGCCCGCAAGGTCCCCCTGCTCAAGAAAGCACATACAGTGGGGAAAAAAAGTATTTAGTCAGCCACCAATTGTGCAAGTTCTCCCACTTAAAAAGACGAGAGAGGCTTGTAATTTTCATCATAGGTACACGTCAACTATGACAGACAAATTGAGATTTTTTTTCTCCAGAAAATCACATTGTAGGATTTTTTATGAATTTATTTGCTAATTATGGTGGAAATAAGTATTTGGTCACCTACAAACAAGCAAGATTTCTGGCTCTCACAGACCTGTAACTTCTTCTTTAAGAGGCTCCTCTGTCCTCCACTCGTTACCTGTATTAATGGCACCTGTTTGAACTTGTTATCAGTATAAAAGACACCTGTCGACAACCTCAAACAGTCACACTCCAAACTCCACTATGACCAAGACCAAAGAGCTGTCAAAGGACACCAGAAACTAAATTGTAGACCTGCACCAGGCTGGGAAGACTGAATCTGCAATAGGTAAGCAGCTTGTTTTGAAGAAATCAACTGTGGGAGCAATTATTAGGAAATTGAAGACATACAAGACCACTGATAATCTCCCTCGATCTGGGGCTCCACGCAAGATCTCACCCCGTGGGGTCAAAATGATCACAAGAACGGTGAGCAAAAATCCCAGAACCACACGGGGGGACCTAGTGAATGACCTGCAGAGAGCTGGGACCAAAGTAACAAAGCCTACCATCAGTAACACAATACGCCGCCAGGGACTCAAATCCTGCAATGCGAGACGTGTCCCCCTGCTTAAGCCAGTACATGTCCAGGCCTGTCTGAAGTTTGCTAGAGTGCATTTGGATGATCCAGAAGAGGATTGGTAGAATGTCATATGGTCAAATGAAACCAAAATAGAACTTTTTGGTAAAAACTCAACTCGTCGTGTTTGGAGGACAAAGAATGCTGAGTTGCATCCAAAGAACACCATACCTATTGTGAAGCATGGGGGTGGAAACATCATGCTTTGGGGCTGTTTTTCTGCAAAGGGACCAGGACGACTGATCCGTGTAAAGGAAAGAATGAATGGGGCCATGTATCGTGAGATTTTGAGTGAAAACCTCCTTCCATCAGCAAGGGCATTGAAGATGAAACGTGGCTGGGTCTTTCAGCATGACAATGATCCCAAACACACCGCCCTGGCAACGAAGGAGTGGCTTCGTAAGAAGCATTTCAAGGTCCTGGAGTGGCCTAGCCAGTCTCCAGATCTCAACCCCATAGAAAATCTTTGGAGGGAGTTGAAAGTCCGTGTTGCCCAGCGACAGCCCCAAAACATCACTGCTCTAGAGGAGATCTGCATGGAGGAATGGGCCAAAATACCAGCAACAGTGTGTGAAAACCTTGTGAAGACTTACAGAAAACGTTTGACCTGTGTCATTGCCAACAAAGGGTATATAACAAAGTATTGAGAAACTTTTGTTATTGACCAAATACCATAATTTGCAAATAAATTCATTAAAAATCATACAATGTGATTTTCTGGATTTTTTTTCCTAATTTTGTCTGTCATAGTTGACGTGTACCTATGATGAAAATTACAGGCCTCTCTCATCTTTTTAAGTGGGAGAACTTGCACAATTGGTGGCTGACTAAATACTTTTTTCCCCCCACTGTATACAGGGCCGTCTGAAGTTTGCCAATGAACATCTGAATGATTTAGAGGAGAACTGGGTGAAAGTGTTGTGGTCAGATGAGACCAAAATCGAGCTCTTTGGCATCAACTCGCCGTGTTTGGAGGAGGAGGAATGCTGCCTATGACCCCAAGAACACCATCCCCACCGTCAAACATGGAGGTGGAAACATTATGCTTTGGGGGTGTTTTTCTGCTAAGGGGACAGGACAACTTCACCGCATCAAAGGGACGATGGACGGGGTCATGTACCGTCAAATCTTGGGTGAGAACCTCCTTCCCTCAGCCAGGGCATTGAAAATGGGTCGTGGATGAGCATTCCAGCATGACAATGACCCAAAACACACGGCCAAGGCAACAAAGGAGTGGCTCAAGAAGAAGCACATTAAGGTCCTGGAGTGGCCTAGCCAGTCTCCAGACCTTAATCTCATAGAAAATCTGTGGAGGGAGCTGAAGGTTCGAGTTGCCAAACGTCAGCCTCGAAACCTTAATGACTTGGAGAAGATCTGCAAAGAGGAGTGGGACAAAATCCCTCCTGAGTTGTGTGCAAACCTGGTGGCCAACTACAAGACATGTCTGACCTCTGTGATTGCCAACAAGGGTTTTGCCACCAAGTACTAAGTCATGTTTTGCAGAGGGGTCAAATACTTATTTCCCTCATTAAAATGCTAATCAATTTATACAAATTTGTTTTTTCTGGATTTTTTTGTTGTTATTCTGTCTCTCACTGTTCAAATAAACCTACCATTAAAATTATAGACTGATCACGTCTTTGTCAGTGGACAAACGTACAAAATCAGCAGGGGATGAAATACTTTTTTCCCCTCACTGTATGGGTTACGGTACAGTACCTATTTTCTTGTATACTGCATTTTAACAGTTGGAGTCTGTTAGCTCAAACACACGTTGAGTAGGGCTGGTGGGCTGCCAGGAACTAGCCCAGGCAGCATGCAGCTCCTGATTGTTGTTGAGTTGGACAAGTCAACTGAGGCTGCAGCATTTTAGACTTGCCAAGTAAGGATCAGTCATCTTGATGGAATGACGAGAGACTTGATCTTTTAAACATATTTCCAGGTCTTGGCCAGTGGAAAACGTGCTTGGTGCAGCAGATAGGATATGGCCTGGTGGTGCTACCCAGACTATCCATTAGTCTGCCTGTGAGGACCCAGGGCAGGCTGAGTTAAAGGAGCCCATTGTTTGTCCGAGATGGCCTGCCGGGTGCATGCCGCTTCTCGAGAAACTAACTGACAGAGACACAGGATTTATTCATGCTAGTTATAAAAGGCACAGAGATACTTGGAAAGACAGGATTTATTGATATAGTTAAAGTCTGATGCCTTGTTAAAACAAGTACCATTCTTATCAGGACAGTAAAATAAGACAATTTACACTGAGTCAATGCATTTTCCTATTGGTGCTTTAAACACCAGTTTGTTTGTTCCATTCTCAATAACATGACTTATTTTTTATGTTAGACATTTAACAGATACATACAGATCTATGAAATATGAGTAGATGGTTATAAAATGTAGGCCCCTCACAACCATTTGTCAGGGGAAACTAACCACATTGTGTCCATTTCAATGAAACTAAGATGTACAGAGTTATGATTGTGATCTACTGTATAAAATAACTGTCACCTCAGGTTTGTGCCTCTCCCACTCAGATGATTCACTCATTTCGTCTTGATTCTGGAATAACCCATTTATAAAGGAGAGTAGACTGCATAAATATGAGCAGACTGCATAAATATGAGCAGACAGTTTGAAATCTGAAGATTTGCTTTTCCTCCCAATGTCACGCCCTGACAGAGTTCGCTAGTTGGTTTGGTCAGGGTGTGAGTATCTATGTAATGTGTATATCTATGTGTAGATCTAGTATGTTTAGATCTATGTTGGCCGGGTGTGGTTCCCAATCAGAGGCAGCTGTCGATCGTTATCTCTGATTGGGGATCATACTTAGGTAGCCATTTTGCCTACCTATGTTGTGGGATCTTGACTCTTGTTTGTGTGTAGCCATTGTGAGCTTCACGTTACATTGCTTTTGTTGTTTTGTCGTGTGTTAACTTAGTGAATAACCATGTATGCATTCCACGCTGCACCTTGGTCCAATCCTGTACTCAACGAACGTGACACCCAATTTGAAAAATGTGTGTCTAATTACTAACAGTCCTCCACGGCTGGGCCTGTGTTAGAAGATTTCCGTTATTTGGAGAATAATACTTTTCCTATGATTGGTTTGATAGCAGTCAACAAACAGTGCAGTTCACCATGATTAGGTTTAAAAGTGCATTTCCTGAGAAGAGATGTTGATTTGATTGGCTGGGGTTCTTGCGGTCTTCAGAACCAGGCTGAGAAGCCGTGTTTTTCCTTCACCACCCAGATGCTGTCGATCACCTTACCATACTGAAACAGAAGCATTCTCCTTTATCACTGAGCCAACAAAACTGGATGAACAGTGCAATTATTTATTTTCCCATGAAGTATATTACATATCAGTAAGAGGTTGTAGAAGACCATCCACTTTATAGTTAGGTATAGAACTGAGGACTTCCCTCTCCACTCACCTGGTCATCGGAGACCTGCTCCAGGTACAGATGGGTGGTGTTGTGCACCTGCATGCGGGTGTATCCATAATCTGTACTGCGGAAGGCACTCCAGTCCCTTGGATTAGGGACGAACGGATCATGATTCTCACGGCAGCCCTGAAAAGACCATAGATATCCACAATCCAACCTACAGCGCCTAGTGAAAGTCTAAATACCCCTTGCACAGTTCACATTTTGCTGACTTGAAGTGAAATTAAAAAAAACGGATTACATTTGATTTTTTTCTCCCTAAAGAACATTTTCTACATTCATAAAAAAACAAAGATCTTGATTGCGTAGGTCTTCACACCCCAGAGTTAATACTTGGTGGAAGCACCTTTGGCAGCAATTAGAGCTGTGATTCATTTTGAATAAGATTCTACCAACTTTGCACAACCCTTAGGGCAATATATCTATTGTTTCTGTCGAAATTCCTCGAGCTCAGTAAATTTGTTTGGGAATCATTGATGGACAGCAATACTCAAACCTTGTCTCTGCTTTTCAAACAGTCAGGAGTGAGACTTGGCCACTCAACACCTCTTGGAAAGCCATTCTGGTGAGTCTTTGGCATGAACATTTGTGTAATTGTATTGTATAATTTTTTTTATCCCAGGGTTAGATATTCAGAAGACTGAGGTAGGTTTTCCTCTAACTTTTTACCTGGGCTTTGCTCCTTTCATATTTATTTTGATCCTGACAAACTCCCCAGTCCGTGCCGGTAACAAGCATACCCATAACCTGCCACCACAATACAGAGGGTTTCACTCTGATGTGTTGTATTGTATTTAACCCAAACCTGATGGTCTAAAAAATTTAATTTAGGCACAAAAGTAATTGGAATTATTTCTTATCCTCCCCTGATCTATGCCTGTTTAAAAATGTATCCCAGACATGCATTTAAAGCTCATTGTTGGCTTTGAGGTTGAATCATTGTTAGACATTCATTAACCAACTAAGGCACCTTAGAGACTAAAACCATGAGAACCACTACTTTTGCAAACAGCTGGACCTCATTCAATAAATGTTATGAAAATATTTTCTCCTAAACTTATTTAGATGTGCCTCAGCAAGGGGTGTGAAGACCTTTGCAATCAATTTATATTCAGAATTGTTTTATACGTTTTCTTTTACTTGTGGAGTAGGTTGTGTAGATCAATGAGAAAATCCAGATTGAACTTTTAGGCAGAAAATATATTAATACCGCGCAAGGCTGTGTAGACTTTCACTAAGCACTGTATGCTACTTCAGTCCTTTGATCGTCGATAGTGTCCCGTTTTCAGTCAAAGGTTCATGTTCTGTTTGTGGAGAGCCACGTGCCTCCCTAAAGCTCATTCTCAGGCTTCTGTGACATTTGGAACAGGACTATGGCTCTGGTGCTGTCCTGACAACAGTTTGATATGGGGATGACCAACTCTTGTGGTTGGATGACCAAGAGTGTCCTGCTTTGTTGACAGCATTTATAAAGGACGAAAACAGTTTATTTAATTGTGCACCAGATAAATAGCTGTTTAAATACCACAGCACACCACCCATTGACTGAAAAAGAGAGGTCAAAGCAGTGGTCTACTTACAGCAGAGCCTGTGATGATATGTACTGGGGCTTTGGGGTTCACATAAGGCTGTTCCATGCTCCCATTGAAGACCTGGAAGAGGAACATTAAAGGGCTCTTCAGTCTGTGACAAAACACTGATGGACAAGGAGTGTGTGTGTTGTAGTGATTATTCACATGGGAACTGACCTTGTAGCCATAGACAGGCCACAACCTCTCATATGTGTGTTCATGGGCCCACAGCTCCAGGTCCACTCCTGGAAAAATACTTTGCATTAGTTGATATGACACTTTTCATACAGTACTTACCTGCAAATAGGCTTGGGCAATATACCGTATAATTTCAAAATACCGATGGTATGATTTTCAATACCAAAAATAAAGCCTTCCGAAAGTATTCACACCTTGACTTTTTCCACATTGTTGTGTTACAGCCTGAATTTATAATATAGACTTTTTTACAATACGCCATAATGTCAAAGTGGAATTATGTTTAGGTGTTTTGTACCCGATGCCTCTTTCCATTCATCAAATTGAGGGTGCACAGTCTGTATATTGTAATTACATTTTTAGAAAGGTTCACAAATTAATTTAAAATTTAAAGCTGAAATGTCTTGAGTCAATAAATATTCAACCCCTTTCTTATGGCAAGCCTAAATAAGTTCAGGGGTAAAAATGTACTTAAAAAGTCACATAATAAGTGGACTCAGTGTGCAATAACAGTGTTTAACATGACTACCTCATCGCTGTACCCCATACATACAGTTGAAGTCGGAAGTTTACATACACCTTAGCCAAATACATTTAAACTCAGTTTCACAATTCCTGACATTTAATCCTAGTAAAAATTCCCTGTCTTAGGTCAGTTAGGATCACCACTTTATTTTAAGAATGTGAAATGTCAGAATAATAGTAGAGAGAATGATTTCTTTCATCACATTCCCAGTGGGTCAGAAGTTTACATACACTCAATGAGTATTTGGTAGCATTGCCTTTAAATTGTTTAACTTGGGTCAAACGTTTCGGGTAGCCTTCCACAAGCTTCCCAAAATAAGTTGGGTGAATTTTGGCCCATTCCTCCTGACAGAGCTGGTGTAACTGAGTCAGGTTTGTAGGCCTCTTTGCTCGCACACACTTTTTCAGTTCTGCCCACATTTTCTATAGGATTGAGGTCAGGGCTTTGTGATGGCCACTTCAATACCTTGAGTGTTGTCCTTAAGCCATTTTGCCACAACTTTGGAAGAAGGCTTTGGGTCATTGTCCATTTGGAAGACCCATTTGCGACCAAGCTTTAACTTCCTGACTGATGTCTTGAGATGTTGCTTCAATATATCCACATCATTTTCCTTCCTCATGATGCCATCTATTTTGTGAAGTGCACCAGTCCCTTCTGCAGCAAAGCACCCCCACAGCATGATGCTGCCACCCCCGTGCTTCACGGTTGGGATGGTGTTCTTCGGCTTGCAAGCTACCCCATTTTTCCTCCAAACATAACGATGGTCATTATGGCCAAACAGTTCTATTTTTGTTTCATCAGACCAGAGGACATTTCTCCAAAAAGTACGATCATTGTCCCCATGTGCAGTTGCAAACCGTAGTCTGGCTTTTTTATGGCGGTTTTGGAGCAGTGGCTTCTTCCTTACTGAGCGGCCTTTCAGGTTATGTCGATATAGGACTCGTTTTACTGTGGATATAGATGCTTTTGTACCTGTTTCCTCCAGCATCTTCACAAGGTCCTTTGCTGTTGTTCTGGGATTGATTTGCACTTTTCGCACCAAAGTATGTTCATCTCTAGGAGACAGAACGCATCTCCTTCCTGAGCAGTATGACGGCTGCGTGGTCCCATGGTGTTTATACTTGCATACTATTGTTGGTACAGATGAACGTGGTACCTTCAGTGGTTTGGAAATTGCTCCCAAGGATGAACCAGACTTGTGGAAGTCTACAAAATAATTTCTGAGGTCTTGGCTGATTTCTTTTGATTTTCCCATGATGTCAAGCAAAGAGGCACTGCGTTTGAAGGTAGGCCTTGAAATACATCCACAGGTACACCTCCAATTGACTCAAATGATGTCAATTAGCCTATCAGAAGCTTCTAAAGCCATGACATCATTTTCTGGAATTTTCCAAGCTGTTTAAAAGGCACAATCAACTTAGTGTACTAACTTAGTGGAATTGTGATACAGTGAATTATAAGTGAAATAATCTGTCTAAACAATTGTTGGAAAAATTACTTGTGTCATGCACAAAGTAGATGTCCTAACTGACTTGCCAAAACTATAGTTTGTTAACAAGACATTTGTGGAGTGGTTGAAAAACGAGTTTTAATACCGCAAAAAATGTGGCAAAGCAATTCACTTTTTGTCCTGAATACAAACTGTTATGTTTGGGGCAAGTCCAATACATTACCGAGTACCACTCCATATATATATATATTTTTTTTTTTTTTTGGGGGGGGGGTCATTTAGCAGACGCTCTTATCCAGAGCGACTTACAGTTAGTGAGTGCATACCTTTTTCATACTGACCCCCCGTGGGAATCGAACACACAACCCTGGCATTGCAAGCTCCATGCTCTACCAACTGAGCTACAGGAGGGCCATTTTCAAGCATAGTTGTGGCTGCATCACGTTATGGGTATGCTTGTAATCGTTAAGGACTGGGGAGTAATTCAGGATTAAAAAAATAAACTGAATAGAGCTAAGCACAGGCAAAACCCTAGAGGAAAAGCAGACTAAACCAGGTTTCCACCAGACACTGGGCGATGAATTCACCTTTCAGCAGGAAAATAACCTAAAACAAGCCCAAATCTACACTGGAGTTGCTTACCAAGAAGACAGTGAAGGTTCTGGAGTGGCTGAGTTACAGTTTTGACTTAAATCTGCTTAAACTCCATGGCAACACCTGAAAATGGTTGTCTAGCAATGATCAACAACCAATTTGACAGAGCTTGAAGAATAAAAAAAAAAGAAAAGGCAAATGTTGAACAAGCCAGGTGTGGAAAACTCTTAGAGACTTACCCAGAAAGACTCACAGCGGTAAATCACTGCCAAGGGTGATTCTAACATGTATTGACTCACAGTGTTGAATACTTATCCAATATAAATATATTAGTGTTATATTTGTTTACAAAATGTTAGAATTTTTATTCCGCTCACGGGGGCACGTGCTACACCACTGCTTAAGTATAACTATAAGAAAATCAAAGATGTGAAAAATAAATTATATCCAGCTCAGGGCTGGATCAAGATCCCCGTTGCCTAAATTATTTTGTGCGTCCCCCCAAAAAAATGTTTTATATACACACACACAGTACCAGTCAAAAGTTTGGACACACCTACTGATTCAAGGGTTTCTATATGTTTTACTATTTTCTACATTGTAGAATAATAGAAGACCTCAAAACTATGAAATAACACATGTGGAATCATGTAGTAACCAAAAAAAGTATTAAACAAATCAAAATATTTTATATTTCAGATTCTTCAAAGTAGCCACCTTTTGCCTCGATGACAGCTTTGCACACTCTTGGCATTCTCTCAACCAGCTTCATGAGGAATGCTTTTCCAACAGTCTTGAAGGAGTTCCCACATATGCTGAGCACTTGTTGGCTGCTTTTCCTTCACTCCGCCGTCCGACTCATCCCAAACCATCTCAAATTGGGTTGAGGTCGGGTGATTGTGGAGACCAGGTCATCTGATGCAGCACTTCATCACTCTCCTTGGTCAAATAGCCCTTACACAGCCTGGAGGTGTGTTTGTCATTGTCCTGTTAAAAAACAAATGATAGGTCCACTAAGCGCAAACCAGATGGGATGACGTATCGCTACAGAATGCTGTGGTAGCCATGCTGGTTAAGTATCTTGAATTCTAAATAAATCACAGACAGTGTCACCAGCAAAGCACCCCCACACCTACTCCTCCATGCTTCACGGTGGGAACCACACATAAGGAAATAATCAGTTCACCTACTCTGCGTCTCACAAAGACACGGCGGTTGGAACCAAAAATCTCAAATTTGGACTCATCAGACCAAAGGACAAATTTTCACCGGTCTAATGTCCATTGCTCGTGTTTCTTGGCCCAAGCAAGTCTCTTCTTATTGGTGTCCTTTAGTAGTGGTTTCTTTGTAGCAATTCGACCATGAAGGCCTGATTCACGCATGTGTCTGTTACTTGAACTCTGTGAATAATTTATTTGGGCTGCAATCTGAGGTGCAGTTAACTCTAATGAACTTATCCTCTGCAGCAGAGGTAACTCTGGGTCTTCCTTTCCTCATGAGAGCCAGTTTCATCATAGCGCTTGATTGTTTTTGCGACAGCAGTTGAACAAACTTTCAAAGTTCTTGACATTTTCCGGATTGATTGACCTTCATGTCTTAAAGTAATGATGGACTGTCATTTCTCTTTGCTTATTTGAGCTGTTCTTGCCATAATACGGACTTGGTATTTTACCAAATAGGGCTATCTTCTGTATACCAACCCTATCTTGTCACAACACAACTGATTGGCTCAAACACATTAAGGAAAGAAATTCGACAAATTAACAAGGCATATCTGTTAATTGAAATGTATTCCAGGTGACTACCTCATGAAGCTGGTTGAGAGAATGCCAAGAGTGTGCAAAGCTGTCATCAAGGCAAAGGGTGGCAACTTTGAAGAATCTCAAATATATTTTGATTTGTTTAATACTTTTTTTGGTTACTACATGATTCCATATGTGTTATTTCATAGTTTTTATGTCTTCACGATTATTCTACAATGTAGAAAATAGTAAAAATAAAGAAAAACCCTGGAATGAGTAGGTGTCAAAACTTTTGACTGGTACTTTTTTTAAATAGCGCCCCTTGAAAATCTGGATACCACCCATGCCTATCTTCAAAGACTATGGACTGCAACACAAAGGACTAAGAGCAACTGCGGGATCCTCAGGCCTTTTCATTGTACTATCCAATATAACCATGAAAATGTGTATTTTGACCATTTTAATTCATTAACCCCATAGAACATGCCTCACATGTTTTACCTACTTACTCACGTTTGCTATTCATCAAAGAGCACTAAATATAAGGGTTCCACTCAAGAAACACAACCAACAAGCGAGAGAAGTGTAACATAGGAAAACATTTGGATAATGGTTTGTTGAGTGATGTCCAAAGCAGCGGTCTGCTGTTGTAATAAAGGAAATGTGTTTGGATTACTCTGTTCGAGCCGAGTGCTGGGACATTAGTCTGTCTGAGAGGACAGATTTGTGACCGTAACAACTACTACAGCACAGTTCTGTTGTATAAAATGCAGACCATACCGTATAGATACAATAGATCCTCCAGACCTGGCGCTGGTGGTTTGGTGTCATTCCGTCCGAGGCGGACCTGAAACAGAGCAGAGCGAATGCTGGGATTAGGATCAGAAACCTCATCTGATATCACCCTCATGTCCATGGCAGGGTGTCACTCTTTACCCATGCCAAGTGCTGAATGCAACAGGTCTGAATGGAAACTATGTGCTTCAGGGCTAATGTGGACTAGCCAGTAGCCTCAGACGTTGACAGGTTTTAAGCAACACAGCAATTAATGTCTCCAGCAACGGAGCAGAAACAAACCCTGTAAATGCTTTTACGTAACAGAATAGCTCTCTGGGACACAGCCTAGCTGTTCTTCACATATCTATCAATGCTATGTCCAGTAAATCATCAGTGCCAAGTGTAATATAAAGCATATTAACAGACTGAGAGCCTCCTTGGTCAGAAAATAATAGCAATCAACATGTAATGAGTAAATAGTTGCATTGAGGGGGAACAGAGAGTTATTTCTGCTTGTAAAACTTCACTTATGATCAGTACAGGTGATGTTCGGCAGGTCAGCCAGTTGTTGCTCAGGTTTGGTCAGATTTACACCCCTCAGGAGGAGGAGGGTGATTCTGCATGTTGCCAGCAGAGCTCACCTCAGCACCTACCTCAGTCCCCCTCTGCCTTGTTCTTTCCTGGACTGCTGTATATCTCTTCCCACTGACCCATCAGCCCCAGGGTGATATACACTGCGTTTCTCACCATATCTGACTGACCAGAACACGTGTAGCTAATAGAGGACTGTACTCATTGTCCTTAGACGTTTTGGATGCTCGGACTCTAAAACCCCTGTAACACTAGTTGCTGTTGAAGTTCACTTGCTGAAAGCAATTGTACATTAATTAATTTAGTAATTCTTAAATCCAGGAATACCATTCAATTTCAAAACTAATACAGAGAGTATCATCCATCCAGCCATGTAATTGACCCCCTTCTCTCACAGTTTTTGTGCCATTGGAAAAAAAATTTAGTCGCCCCATGTGCATTTCTCTTAAACAGATGAGGCCGTAATTTTATTGTGTAACTATGACAGACAAAATGAGAAAAAGAATTCCAGAAAATCACATTGTAGGATTTTTAATGAATTTATTTGCAAATTATGGTGGAAAATAAGTATTTGGTCAATAACAAAAGATTCTCAATAGTTTGTTATATACCCTTTGTTGGCAATGACACAGGTCAAACGTTTTCTGTAAGTCTTCAAAAGGTTTTCACAAACTGTTGCTGGTATTTTGGCCCATTCCTCCATGCAGATCTCCTCTAGAGCAGTGATGTTTTGGGGCTGTCACTGGGAAACACGGACTTTCAACTCCCTCCAAAGATTTTCTATGGGGTTGAGATCTGGAGACTGGCTAGGCCACTCCAGGACCTAGAAATGCTTCTTACGAAGCCACTCCTTCGTTGCCCGGGCGGTGTGTTTGGGATCATTGTCATGCTGAAAGACCCAGCCACGTTTCATCTTCAATGCCCTTGCTGATGGAAGGAGGTTTTCACTCAAAATCTCACGATACATGGCCCCATTCATTCTTTCCTTTACACGGATCAGTCGTCCTGGTCCCTTTGCAGAGAAACAGCCCCAAAGCATGATGTTTCCACCCCCATGCTTCACAGTAGGTATGGTGTTCTTTGGATGCAACTCAGCATTCTTTGTCCTCCAAACACGACGAGTTGAGTTTTTACCAAAAAGTTCTATTTTGGTTTCATCTGACCATATGACATTCTCCCAATCCTCTTCTGGATCATCCAAATACACTCTAGCAAACTTCAGACGGGCCTGGACATGTACTGGCTTAAGCAGGGGGACACGTCTTGCACTGCAGGATTTGAGTCCCTGGCTGCGTAGTGTGTTACTGATGGTAGGCTTTGTTACTTTGGTCCCAGCTCTCTGCAGGTCATTCACTATGTCCCCCCGTGTGGTTCTGGGATTTTTGCTCACTGTTCTTGTGATCATTTTGACCCCACGGGGTGAGATCTTGCGTGGAGCCCCAGATCGAGGGAGATTATCAGTGGTCTTGTATGTCTTCCATTTCCTAATAATTGCTCCCACAGTTGATTTCTTCAAACCAAGATGCTTACCTATTGCATATTCAGTCTTCCCAGCCTGGTGCAGATCTACAATTTTGTTTCTGGTGTCCTTTGACAGCTCTTTGGTCTTGGCCATGGTGGAGTGTGGAGTGTGACTGTTTGAGGTTGTGGACAGGTGTCTTTTATACTGATAACAAGTTCAAACAGTTGCCATTAATACAGGTAACGAGTGGAGGACAGAGGAGCCTCTTAAAGAAGAAGTTACAGGTCTGTGAGAGCCAGAAATCTTGCTTGTTTGTAGGTGACCAAATACTTATTTTCCACCATAATTTGCAAATAAATTCATAAAAAATCCTACAAAGTGATTTTCTGGATAATGTTTTCTCAATTTGTCTGTCATAGTTGATGTGTACCTATGATGAAAATTACAGGCCTCTCTCTTCTTTTTAAATGGGAGAACTTGCACAATTGGTGGCTGACTAAATACTTTTTTTCCCCACTGTACATACATAGCTCTCAAACTGGGTGCAGTCGTCTTTATCGTTGTTAGAGCAGTACATGGGTCTGTGTCCCATAGTGATGATCCAGGGGCGCTCTGCTCGGTTCTCTGGCCTGTTGGCATCCTGATAGAGGATCAGACAAGAGAATGAGTCACGTCGCTGTGTGTGTGTGTGTGTGTGTGTGTGTGTGTGTACTGTTTAGGACACCAAAGTTTATTACTCAAGAAATAATACTAAAAAAGGGCATTACTGCCACGTTCAGTTGTCCAGAGACAAACAGCTTCACTAATACTGGGACTGTAAATTAAGTACTTTACCTCAAGGTCCTTTTTAAGCCACTCGTACTGCTTGAAGAGGAGATCCACGCCATAATCAAGAAAGAAGTAGATCTCAGTGGAGAGAGAGATGATATGGGCGGATCCTACATTCCAGCTGTGGACAGAGCGCATACAAAAGATCAACAGCCTTGACCATCCAAAGTATACATACAAACTACTGACAGGGACACACTTAATTCGTCTATAGTGAAAGATTTCCCCCAAAGAAATAGCTGGGCTGGGACCTCCTCTCTTTTGGAGGCAGGGTTTGTCTGTCTCCTCTCCTCAGACATCACCCCAGTCCTGCGTGCCGTGCAGGTGCTGGAGAGAAGGGGCCTCATCTCTTCCTTAGCCAGGGGAGTGAGGAGCAGGCCTGCGGTCCAGGATGTATTATCTTACTGCCTCAGAGAATGTCCTGTGTGTTATGAGCCTGCCACAGGTCGGATGTATGGCTCCTTTGTGCCGTTGGCCCCTTCACGCAGATTGAACCAAAGTGTTCCAAAGGGGATGCTAGTTAGAGCTCCCCTCTCTTTGGCTAAATCATTTGGGGTGAGTTTACGTTAATCAATGACCACTTCTATACAGTAGAAGGTAAGTGTGTGTGGTAGATGCTCCCTTACCTGTACCATAGACTCTCAGTCTGTCCTGGCATGCTGAAGCGGTTCCTGTAGTTGGAGAAGTTGCTGTGAAAACAGAGTTGGTTCGGCTAATGAGATGTATGGACTGTAGTGTGCCATCTAGGTGCCTTAAATATCTCAGTGAGATAATTAGTGCCAGAAACCTTAGTTTGCTCCCCTATCATCTTGTGGTTCCCTTGTCAGTACTCGTAAATGTCACAGGTGTGACGAATTGGTTTAACATTTTCACCAAGCTGGCATTGCCGTTGGTTAATTGGTTTATTGTTTTCCCTTTAAAAAACGGTTATTTTGCTTCTAGGCAGCCGGACACAGGAAGTGATCCAGTCCAGAGGTATGGTGTCCCTGTTGCTGGTAGCATGTGCTGATAAGTTTGTGAACAAACAATGGGGAAATTGAAGAAGCCTGGACACCTGCCTTGGGGCTGGGTCGCTTCCTTTGTTCCTGTTTATTAGGTTTGTGTATTTTACTGAAATTATTACTTTACATTGGTTTGGAAAAAATGATAATTTATATGGCTAAATAACTTGAATCTGAACTGAAACAAATTGAACTTGATGTATATTGGAAACCTGAAGTGTATTTTTGTAAAACCATGCATTGATGAAAAGTTAAACTGGAATCAAACCACCCCATTGACTGGTCTCTGTTTTCACACCGCCTGCTCAACCCAGATCTTAGAACCTGTTCATTTGCACTTTGTGACATAAAGCTAATCTTAGACAGCTATTCAGAATACATACCACAAAGATTCATTACACAATGAGACTGCCATTTTTGTAGTTGCTAGCCAATCGTGGTCATTACCTCTCCCTCCTACCAATCCCATACTCACAATAGCTTTGAGTCACATTCCTCATGGAGATGCCCTATCTAGCCAACTTTGACTACAGAAGTAAAGCGTCTGCTTTAAACCTGCATTGAATACAGCCATTTATCAGACATCCATCCACAGAAACACTACACTAGTCCCCTACTACAGCCAAGGTCTGTCAGTGGTCACCTCTACAGACAGGACAGGATACGACCAAACTGTATTTCCTACAACGCCGCCACCACTTCTACCGATGGTAATTTATCAATACTATAGTGCCAGAACCACCAGACCGGGACACACACAGACCGAACCGGTTCCCATAATGAAAGACCCAAACCTAGACCTGTGCCTTGGAGAGCACCAGTCGCAGGCGTGCTATCCACCCACCCAAACACGTGCCATTCCCTAAATATTTCAATTGGCCAAACCTGTGCAAAGCCTTTCTAGGAAGACTGTCACTAACGACAGCAGGCCAAGCCAAAAGCTAGCTGTTTTTATGGGTTTACAGATTTTAATTTCACCAATAAAACTGGGAGCCAATCTTCCTTCCAGTTAAAGCAGTAGGGTCATTCCACAAAATGTGTCTTTTGCGTCCCTTTGATAATTTAAGAAGAAATTGTGCACCAATATTTAATTTTAAAAGCCTGTTAAAGTATATTAAATAAAGTGCCCTTTAATATAGACCGCATGGAGAATTCAATAAATCTGATTTGTTATATGAAAAGACTTGTTAAAGTGTTTATTTGGAATATCCCTCCGTCTAGGAAGATTTTAACCCACTGAACCCGAACATTTCTCAGTAGTTTCACCATCATTGTGAAGCCCTAGTTATTTTTGTTGCTTTCACAAAGTCATTTATGAAGATTATTTATTTCATGTGATTAGTGATTCATTTACATCTCTCCCTCATTTTAATGTCAACCCTGTTATGTGAACTGAACGCTCGCTAAAAAATAATAATAGTCAAACCATAGTGTAAAAGCATGTGACTCTTTTTGGCAATTTACTGGTGTTTTGAGGTGGAAAACTGAGCGGGTCAAGCATAACACGTTAACCTTGTTACCCATAGATAGACTAGAAATGTTTTAACAATTTCATTTTTTTGTGAAGCTTGCATTCAATTGCCCATCCCTGTCGCACACAACAAGATTCCATTCCCCCGTCACAAGGGGATTTATGGCTGATTTCAGATGAAATCGTCAACCCTGTTACGGTCAACTCTGTTACTTTATTTGGCACTTAATAGGCACTTACTATAGTCGTTTTTTTATTTAACCTCTTGAGATGGGAAAACATGTTTTTTTATGAAGTTGAATATATGCTCTTTATGACAGAATGTTAAAATGAGGTGAAATCCAAAGTTTATTTTTACCAAGTTACACTTCTCAAAAAGGCACAGAAATGGTGGAACGACCCAGTAAGGTATGTGGTGAAGTGATGGGGGAGTCTGATAGCTCTCCTGGCTTTTGTAAGAGGCAGACAGGGACAGAGCGGTCCACCTGAGTGAGTATGGATGCTGGAGGTCAGACGACAGGGTTCATGCAAAGTTAGGTAAATAGAGACCGTTCAGGTCAGAGATTAAAAGGAAAGGTCAGGATCATAGAGAATCTCTAGTTAATGGCATAAATTGACCTTGGGGTCAAGATTACATGGTCAAAGTCAAAGCTATGATAACTCAATAATTGGTGATTGAACGGTCTGTTACAATTGACCGGTCCACCATTTGCAACAGACATAATCCTTTTTATGCCGTAACACACTTGATTAATCACAAACCATTCTGAGTGGTTGAGAAAGGGATCCACAGTATGTGCAGCAGTATGCAGAACTGGGAGATGCTGTGAGCAGCAGCACGTCTGAGTCAAAGCTACTTAGTCTGGAGCATGGTCATGGGTTAATGCCCCCATCTTGTGGTGGCTAGGCAGGGAAGCAGCTGACTGTCTGTTGGATGGACACCAGATCCAAGATCTCCTTATGGGACGGCCACCTCTTTCCTCATACATAAAACAATATACATTTTAGGAGACCCTGGACAATGGAAATAGAACAGGGGTAATAAAAGCACTTCTATTTGGTCAAATAATATGTGTTTTGGTATACTGAATGATATATGTGCATGTCTAAAGGGGAATTATTAGAACTTCCTAGAACAGTAGCTCAGAATTCTTTATTTTTTCTCCTCTACACAGTGGAAAATCTGATCAGCTCAATTAAATATTCTTATGTGTCATTAATTTACATTGTGTCCCCATGACAAACTATGAGTCATAGTTTGTAACTAGACAGGCTGTTTCCCTTGTGTGCTTTCTTTTCCAATAAAATAATAGCAAGATACAAATTTGAGGGGAAATGTTCCAGCTTAAACCTTGTCAAATGCAATGTGGATGGACTGATTCATAATCCTAATCAACAGGACTTTCCCCCCCCCAGGTAAACTGTTTAGAAACCACACATACTGACAAATCAGATCTGCCCTTTCATTTCACTGAGGAGTGTGAGCTACAAGATGCCCACCTAATCCAGCCTTTTTGAAACCTTAAAGGAACAATTGCTGTCTGAACATCACCAACTCACGTCATGGCTCATTGTTTGAAATGGCAACAGTCACTTCCTATTGCCTCCGATGGGCCAGTGATCCATAGATTGTGTGGGGGAACAAAGGCGCTCTTGACTGGGGCCTTAGCGTCTCACGTGGAAATGCTGGCCTCATGCAGCTGGAATGCTGAGGACTCTTGTGGTCAGCCCGGCTCAATTGCTTTTATCAGGGGTGAAAGTAAACCAGTACGGTCCCTTACGGAGTCCTGGCAAAATAAGTAGTGGGGGTACGCCGTACCAATAAAATATGAGCCTATCACAATATTTAAAACAAAATGTGAAGAAAACTGTAGGCTTTTACAATATTATTTATAATGATATTAGCTGCATGAAAAATGAGTGAATGGACTTGAAAACAGGTGGTATACAGTACACACTCCAGAATGCTGTGTGGTTAGAGGAGAACACTGACATTTTTCGAAGGCAGAGATTAATGGCCGAGACTAAAGCACGCAGACAGCAGCACACTCATCAATTCAGTCAGAAAATGTAGGCATAATGATGATCACTAAAATTTGCTTTACATTCATCAAATGGCAGATGCAAATAGCTGGAATTAATTTGTGAGTGGGAGAATGTGCGCGGGTAGCCTACATGAGCCTTTGATTATTTGACAATCAGATGAAAACATCATGACTGGTTGTGTCTATGCCATATTAAAAGTTAAAACATTTTTGTTAAGTTAAATGACAAATCTTTACTACTAGGCCAACAGAGATCCTATTAAATTAATAGAGATTCTATATTAATTTAATTAATAGGGATTCTATATGTAATTCTATGATTAGGCCCATAATAAAATGTTTAAATAAATTACATCTACTTTCACCCCTGCTTTTACTCAGTTGGTTTTGGGGTAAAAAATAAAAAATAAAATACACACACACACACACACACACACACACACACACACACACACACACACACTACCGTTCAAAAGTTTGGGGTCACTTAGAAATGTCCAATAAAACTGGCCTTCTTGAGACTAGTTGAGTATCTGGAGTATCAGCAATTGTGGGTTCGATTACAGGCTCAAAATGGCCAGAAACAAATAACTTTCTTCTGAAACTTGTCAGTCTATTCTTGTTCTGAGAAATGAAGGCTATTCCATGCAAGAAATTGCCAAGAAACTGAATATCTCGTACAGCGCTGTGCACTACTCCCTTCATGGAACAGCGCAAACTGGCTCTAACCGGAATAGACAGAGGAGTGGGAGGCCCCAGTGCACAACTGAGCAAGAGGACAAATACATTAGAGTGTCTAGTTTGAAAAACAGACGCCTCACAGGTCCTCAACTGGCAGCTTCATTAAATAGTACCCACAAAACACCAGTCTCAACGTCAACAGTGAAGAGGCGACTCCGGGATGCTGACCTTCTAGGCAGAGTTGCAAATAAGGGACAGCTGTTAATTGAAATGCATTCCAGGTGACTACCTCATGAAGCTCTCAGAATGCCAAGAGTGTGCAAAGCTGTCATCAAGGCAAAGGGTGGCTATTTGAAGAATCTCAAATATAAAATATATTTTGTTTAACACTTTTTTGGTTACTACATGATTCCATATGTGCTATTTCATAGTTTTGATGTCTTCACTATTATTCTACAATGTACAAAATATTAAAAATAAAGAAAAACCCTTGAATGAGTAGGTGTGTCCAAACTTGACTGGTAGTGTACATATATATTATCTTTATCTCTGCATTGTTGGAAAAGGACTCGTTAATCTACACCTGTTGTTTACAAAGCATGTGACAAATACCATTTTATTTGACACAGACACACACGGTATAGGATATGACACTGAATGGCTGAGCCTTTAAATCCCTGCCCTTTTTATGCAGATCTCTCACTGAGCTTACAACCTAGACCAAGATCCCCAGGACTAAAGCTCTGGAACTCACTCCAATATCCAGGGGGCATCTAGGTTGTCCATCATGGACAGGGTTGCACTGAGCATGATGAGAGTGGAGTATTTAAACTAATATTGGTCAATAATATACAGTTGCCTGTTTTTTTCTGAACTGCATAGAAACAATATTACAGCCCAGTAGAGTATCTTATGATAAGCTGTAGACCACACTATTTACCAAGAGAGTTTTCATCTATATTTTTCATAGCTGTCTATCTACCACCACAAACCAATGCTGGCATTAAGATTGCACTGAATGAGTTGTACAAGGCCATTAATCAACAGGAAAACGCTCATTCAGATGCAGCGCTCCTAGTGGCCGGGGACTTTAATGCAGGGAAACTTAAATCCGTTCTACCTAATTTCTACCAGCATGTTAAATGTGCAACCAGAGGGAAAAAAACTCTAGACCACCTTTACTCCACACACAGAGATGCATACAAAGCTCTCCCTCGCCCTCCATTTGGCAAATCTGACCATAACTCTATCCTCCTGATTCCTGCTTATAAGCAAAAACTGAAGCAGGAAGCACCAGTGATTCGGTTAATAAAAAAGTGGTCAGATGACGCAGATGCTAAGCTACAGGACTGTTTTGCTAGCACAGACTGGAACATGTTCCGGGATTCTTCAGACAGCATTGAGGAGTACACCACATCAGTCACTGGCTTCATCAATAAGTGCATCGATGATGTCGTCCCCACAGTGACCGTACGTACATACCCCAACCAGAAGCCATGGATTACAGGAAACATCCGCACTGAGCTAAAGGGTAGAGCTGCCGCATTCAAGGAACGGGACTCTAACCCGGACGCTTATAAGAAATCCCGCTATGACCTCCGACGAACCATCAAACAGGCAAAGAGTCAATACAGGTCTAAGATTGAATCATACTACACTGGCTCTGACGCTCGTCGGATGTGGCAGGGCTTGAAAACTATTACAGACTACAAAGGGAAGCACAGCCGCGAGCTGCCCAGTGACACAAGCCTACCAGACGAGCTAAACCACTTCTATGCTTGCTTCGAGGCAAGCAACACTGAAGCATGCATGAGAGCACCAGCTGTTCCGGATGACTATGTGATCACGCTCTCCGTAGCTGATGTGAGTAAGACTTTTAAGCAGGTCAACATTCACAAGGCCGCAGGGCCAGACGGATTACCAGGACGTGTACTCCGAGCATGTGCTGACCAAATGGCAAGTGTCTTCACTGACATTTTCAACATGTCCCTGACTGAGTCTGTAATACCAACATGTTTCAAGCAGACCACCATAGTCCCCGTGCCCAAGAACTCTAAGATAACCTGCCTAAATGACTACCGACCCGTAGCACTGACATCTGTAGCCATGAAGTGCTTTGAAAGACTGGTCATGGCTCACATCAACAGCATAATCCCAGAAACCCTAGACCCACTCCAATTTGCATACCGCCCCAACAGATCCACAGATGATGCAATCTCTATCGCACTCCACACTGCCCTTTCCCACCTGGACAAGAGGAACACCTACGTGAGAATGCTATTCATTGACTACAGCTCAGCATTCAACACCATAGTGCCCTCTAAGCTCATCACTAAGCTAAGGATCCTGGGACTAAACACCTCCCTCCGCAACTGGATCCTGGACTTCCTGATGGGCCTCCCCCAGGTGGTAAGGGTAGGTAACAACACATCTGCCACACTGATCCTCAACACGGGGGCCCCTCAGGGGTGCGTGCTCAGTCCCCTCCTGTACTCTCTGTTCACCCATGACTGCATGGCCAGGCACGACTCCAACACCATCATTAAGTTTGCCGACGACACAACAGTGGTAGGCCTGATCACCGACAACGATGAGACAGCCTATAGGGAGGAGGTCAGAGATCTGGCCGTGTGGTGCCAGGACAACAACCTCTCCCTCAACGTGACCAAGACAAAGGAGATGATTGTGGACTACAGGAAAAAAAAGAGGACTGAGCACACCCCCATTCTCATCGACGGGGCTGTAGTGGAACAGGTTGAGAGCTTCAAGTTCCTTGGTGTCCACATCACCAACGAACTATCATGGTCCAAACACACCAAGACAGTCGTGAAGAGGGCACGACAAAGCCTATTCCCCCTCAGGAGACTAAAAAGATTTGGCATGGGTCCTCAGATCCTCATAAAATTCTACAGCTGCACCATCGAGAGCATCCTGACTGGTTGCATCACCGCCTGGTATGGCAACTGCTTGACCTCTGACCGCAAGGCACTACAGAGGGTAGTGCGTACGGCCCAGTACATCACTGGGGCAAAGCTTCCTGCCATCCAGGACCTCTATACCAGGCGGTGTCAGAGGAAGGCCCTCAAAATTGTCAAAGACTCCAGCCACCCTAGTCATAGACTGTTCTCTCTGCTACCGCACGGCAAGCGGTACCGGAGTGCCAAGTCTAGGTCCAAAAGACTTCTCAACAGCTTCTACCCCCAAGCCATAAGACTCCTGAACAGCTAATCATGGCTACCCGGACTATTTGCACTGCCCCCCCACCCCATCCTTTTTTACGCTGCTGCTACTCTGTTAAGTATTTATGCATAGTCACTTTAACTCTACCCACATGTACATATTACCTCAACTACCTCAACTAGCCGGTGCCCCCGCACATTGACTCTGCAACGGTACCCCCCTGTATATATAGCCTCCCTACTGTCACTTTATTTTACTGTATATATAGCCTCCCTACTGTCACTTTATTTTACTTCTGCTCTTTTTTTCTCAACACTTTTTTTGTTGTTGTTTTATTCTTACTTTTTTTGTTTAAAATAAATGCACTGTTGGTTAAGGGCTGTAAGTAAGCATTTCACTGTAATGTCTGCACCTGTTGTATTCGGCGCATGTGACCAATAAAATTTGATTTGATTTGATTTGATTTAGACTTTGTCTGAGAGTAATTGTGGGGTAAATAAACAAAAACAACATTTCAGTGAGTTTCTGTCAGTAGTTTCTGTTGGCCTAAACGCAAGATAGGAAACTTATGTCGCAGTCAGTGTTTATTTTGGACAAGGTTTACTTGTTTAGTTGTCGGTGGTTCTTGAAACACCTCCAGACCTTAGAAGCTGAAATAGCTCCCATCTGTTCCAATGGCACAGCGGAGATGACCAAAGTGTTTTCTATAGTGGAAAAGCTGTGGTTGCTCCACTCTGACCAAAAATGTGTTTTTCTGAGCTTCTACCGCTGCCTCACAGTACAGTACAGTAGCACATTATGGATACCAAGTCTGGGGAGGTCTGGCAGTGTCTCACCAATATGAAATACAGCATGAGTATTTTTTACCAAACCCTTTAATAATAGCATTGATTAGATGTGACCTGTACAGAATGCACCAAAATATGTACCAGGAGCAGAAAACATTGGCTAATGGGGAGCAGAAAGAAAGCAGACTGCTACCATGTTGACTCACTGTTTATGAAGATTATAAACTATTCATAACACTGTCAGTTTTAAATAATCAGTTTAACACTAAATGACTGGTGCCTGTGTGCAGGTGCGTGGGTGTGAAAGAGAGAGAGGAACAGAGAGAAGTAAATAATTAAAGGGGGGGTCATACAGTTCTACTCATGACAGACAGACAGAGAGAGAGACAGAGACAGAGAGAGACAGAGAGAGACAGAGACAGAGACAGAGAGAGAGAGAGAGAGAGAGAGAGAGAGAGAGAGAGAGAGAGAGAGAGAGAGAGAGAGAGAGAGAGAGAGAGAGAATTAAGTAAAGGGGGTCATGATAAGGTCCTACTCACTATTCAGCCTCGTGGTTCCCAGGACAGGTCATATAGGGCACATAGGCAGCTATGGACTGGATCTGACGCATGAACTCATCTCCAATCCTGCCGTTGTCCTGAAACAATTTGATTTAGTCATTTACCACAGCATAACACAGTTTTAGTGCTAATGAAGCCTGATATAATAAGGCTGACAGGATCAAAGTAAAAAGCACATTAAATGATCTAAAGCCAAAGTTCTGTAAATACATTTTCCAGACAGCTTCAGGAATGAACTATTTGCATACCAAACGAAACCCCAATGAAACTAGAACCATTGATTTCACAACTATTCTAATGGTGGCAATTGAGCTTATGAACACACTGTGGTGGATGGCATGGTAATCTTCCCATTGCCCTTAATGAGCTTTCAGAAAGAATTTCTATTTATAATATCAAGGAAGCCACGGAACAGTTAGACATTTAGACACAGTTAGACATTCCAGCTCAAACTCAGCATGAATTACGGCGATTAATTTTTATGGTTGTCTGCTCATAATGTCCAGCATTTTTCTACATATTTGAGAAAAGTATAAATGGAACAACATAACCAACATTGCTAATTAATTTTAGGGAAACGGCAGCCGCTGATGTATGCCATTGGTGATTAATATATGTCATAGTATTTATGAAGGGCGCAGTGAGACTGGCCAGTTAGGTTCAGGGAAACATGGCCTCTGTCTACATTAGCTAGTTGTCTCGGCTGAATAGAGCCCTGCTGCTGTACTTCATTGGTTACTTCAGTGTTATGCCCCTAATTCCAGTCTTTCAGCACATGATTAAGGCATTTCACAGCTATGCAGTTCATTACAGCAGCGTGTCTTAACCATGGCCCAGGCATGATCTGCTGATGAATAGTAATGGGACGCTAGGGATAAGACTGAGCAGGGTTAGAGTGGCTATATCTCATCTGTCATCATGGATCTAGCCAGACACCCAGATGGGCTTAAGAGGTCTAGGCTCATGATGACATAGTCTACTTTCATATCTTACCCTGAGGGTACCATAAGCTTTGAGTGTACCCCCTTATGCCAATAGTTTAACTTCATGGAAATCTCATGAGAAAGTCCTTAACATAAATGATATGTGTATCATTCTACCAACTGCCAGTGATGGACATGTGTGTGTACAGAAAACAAAAATATTTAGATATATTTTACCTCATGCATGTCATATGCAAAGTCCCCTAGAAAACACAAAACCACATATTGGTCATGCATCATTTCTCCAACGTGTGCTCCATATTTCACCCAAAGTAAACCACAATTATATACAGTTGAAGTCGGAAGTTTACATACACCTTAGCCAAATAAAATTAAACTCTGTTTTTTACAATTCCTGACATTTAATCCAAGTAAAAATTCCCTGTTTTAGGTCAGTTAGGATCACCACTTTATTTTAAGAATGTGAAATGTCAGAATAATAGTTTTATTTAATATTTTACTTCATTCATCACATTCCCAGTGGGTCAGAAGTTTACATACACTCAATTAGTATTTGATAGCATTGCCTTTCAATTGTTTAACTTAGGTCAAACGTTTCAGGTAGCCTTCCACAAGCTTCCCACAATAAATTGGGTGAATTTTGGCCCATTCCTCCTGACAGAGCTGGTGTAACTGAGTCAGGTTTGTAAGCCTCCTTGCTCGCACACGCCTTTTCAGTTCTGCCCACACATTTTCTATAGGATTGAGGTCAGGGCTTTGTGATGGCCACTCCAATACCTTGACTTTGTTGTCCTTAAGCCATTTTGCCACAACTTTGGAAGTATGCTTAGGGTCATTGTCTATTTGGAAGACCCATTTGCAACCAAGCTTTAACTTCCTGACTGATGTATTGAGATGTTGATTCAATATATCCACATCATTTTCCTTCCTCATGATGCCATCTATTTTCTGAAGTGCACCAGTCCCTCCTGGAGCAAAGCACCCCCACAGCATGATGCTGCCACCCCCGTGCTTCACTGTTGGGATGGTGTTCTTCGGCTTGCAAGATTCCCCTTTTTCCTCCAAACATAACGATGGTCATTATGGCCAAACAGTTCTATTTTTGTTTCATCAGACCAGAGGACATTTCTCCAAAAAGTACGATCTTTGTCCCCATGTGCAGTTGCAAACCGTAGTCTGGCTTTTTTATGGCGGTTTCGGAGCAGTGGCTTCTTCATTGCTGAGCGGCCTTTCAGGTTATGTCGATATAGGACTCGTTTTACTGTGGATATAGATACTTTTGTACCCGTTTCCTCCAGCATCTTCACAAGGTCCTTTGCTGTTGTTCTGGGATTGATTTGCACTTTTCGCACCAAAGTATGTTCATCTCTAGGAGACAGAACGCGTCTCCTTCCTGAGCGGTATGACGGCTGCGTGGTCCCATGGTGTTTATACTTTCATACTATTGTTTGTACAGATGAACGTGGTACTTTCAGGCATTTGGAAATTGCTCCCAAGGATAAACCAGACTTGTGGAGGTCTACACTTTTTTTCCTGAGGTCTTGGCTGATTTATTTTGATTTTCCCATGATGTCAAGCAAAGAGGCACTGAGTTTGAAGGTAGGCCTTGAAATACATCCACAGGTACACCTCCAATTGACTCAAATGATGTCAATTAGCCTATCAGAAGCTTCTAAAGCCATGACATAATTTTCTGGAATTTCCAAGCTGTTTAAAGGCACATTCAACTTAGTGTATGTAAACTTCTGACCCACTGGAATTGTGATACAGTTAATTATAAGTGAAATAATCTGTGTGTAAACAATTGTTGGAAAAATGACTTGTGTCATGCACAAAGTAGATGTCCTAACCGACTTGCCAAAACTATAGTTTGTTAACAAGAAATTTGTGGAGTGGTTGAAAAACAAGTTTTAATGACTCCAACCTAAGTGTATGTAAACTTCCGACTTCAACTGTACCACTGTGATTCAAGTTATTCTGTAGTTTGGATCAACAACTGTCGACATTGATAAGGTCATTCACTTAAGACAATCAGTTGGGAGTTTAACCACTTACCGACGTGTAGGATGACATCATACGTCCCGACCTGGGTCTCCTTTTGCAGTCTGGCCAGAGACTGAGGGTTCTCATTGCCCATGTCCCCATAGATGGCAAACCTGGGACTCCAGCTAGTGCTCTCATTCAGAGCAGTAAAGGAGAACACATCACTCCAGCCAGCCTCACTGCCACAGTGGTACACTGCAGTCAACACCGGGAAGAAAACCTTGTCCTATAAATACTATGATGATGACAGGCCATAGACCGAATGTGACAGGCAACAGACATAGCCTAAATCCATCATGCTAGTTCTATTAACATGGAAACCTACCATAAACAGAGGCAGATCTCAGGTCAGTGAGAGTGACCCTGTGGATGTACATCTTCCTCCCCTCTGATCCTCCATCCACAAACAAAGTAGCGTTGCCCTTGGCGGTCAGCTCAAACAGCCGTCCGCCCCACAGGCCGTACTCCACGGTGCTCTCCTCCGTCTCATTGAAGGTGGTCCAGGTGATCTCCATAGAGCCAGGGAACCCTGGGGAGAAAAGTGCCATAGTTATCCAGCCAGATCAGGCTGCTCACCCTGCCCACCTGGAGAGAGTTACTGCCCTGGATACTTACTGATCCACTTACGTAAGCTGGGAGAAACGTTATGTCTTTATAAAATAATTATCTCCTGGGCTCGAAATTAAGGGTGTTCCATTGCCCCTGGGATGATACAAAATATGTATAAGGTTCAAAACAGACTCTGGGACAGTTCTGGGACGACAGATCCAAAATTCATACAAGCACTGCAGATTACTTTATTTTTTAAGTAATGAGGCTGATGCAACAGATCAGACCATTTAGCTTAAAATGTTGATAATGTTTTATTTCTTCATATTATAAGCTCAACAATGTGCACATAGTTGTAAGCTACGTGCAAATGTTCCAAAATGCAGTTAGTGGGAAAACACTGTTTTCAAAAAGCGTACCACACGCACAAGTGCTTTCATGTGACATAGATGAAAATATCAGTTCAAAAACTAAGAAAGAGGGGAGATCTAAAGAAGCATCAACTAGTAAGGGTTACTAATATGACTAGGATTATGCCTTTGGCTGCTGGACAATAAAATAAAGTTGATTTGAAAACCAACAGAACATGAGAAATGCTGATTTCAATGTTTATAAAATAATTTCCTCAAAATGTCTATGGTCGTATTTTGGCTAGGCTACTTTGAAACAAGGTAAGACATGCTTCATAAAATGGCATAAAACGTCCAGGTTTTAATCAACTACGTTTATGGTTAAATAGTTTTAAAATGCTGATTGCTTCTGCTCAGATTCAAGGTGGGTGATGTGCGGTGCGCAACAGGCACTGCCCTTCACTCTCCGGTCTCTTGACCATTTGATCTGAATGAACCGTGACTCGAGTTTGTCGACAGAATCAAGCCTTTAGACCAGGAATGGGCAACTTTGTATGGGGGACACAAACAAATCTGAACTCATCATGAGGGGCAGCAGTTGCTCACGTGTCTACATACCACATCCATACACCTCCCCCCAGGTTAAAGCCTGGACATATATACACTACCAGTCAAAAGTTTGGACACACCTACTCATTCAAGGGTTTTTCTTTATTTTCACTATTTTCTACATTGTAGAATAATAGTGAAGAAAACAAAACTATGAAATAATACATATGGAATCAATATATTTTAAATTTGAGATTCTTCAAAGTAGCCACCCTTTGCCTTGATGACAGCTTTGCACACTCTTGGCATTCTCTCAACCAGCTTCATGAGGTAGTCACCTGGAATGCATTTCAATTGAAAGGTGTTCCTTCTTGAAAGTTAATTGGTGGAATTTCTTTCTTTCCTTAATGCGTTTGAGCCAATCAGTTGCGTTGTGACAAGGTAGGGTGGGTATACAGAAGAGAGCCCTATTTGGTAAAAGACCAAGTCCATATTATGGCAAGAACAGCTCAAATAAGCAAAGAGAAACAACAGTCCATCATTACTTTAAGACATGAAGGTCAGTCAATACAGAACATTTCAAGAACTTTGAAAGTTTCTTCAAGTGCAGTCGCAAAAACAATCAAGCGCTATGATGAAACTGGCTCTCATGAGGACCGCCACAGGAATGGAAGACCCAGAGTTACCTCTGCTGCAGAGGATAAGTTCATTAGTTATCAGCCTCAGAAATTGCAGCCCAAATAAATGCTTCACAGAGTTCAAGTAACAGACACATCTCAACATCAACTGTTCAGAGGGGACTGTGTGAATCAGGCCTTCATGGTCAAATTGCTGCAAAGAAACCACTACTAAAGGACACCAGTAAGAAGAAGAGACCTGCTTGAGCAATGGACATTAGACCGGTGGAAATGTGTCCTTTGGTCTGGAGTCCAAATTTGAGATTTTTTGTTCAAACCATTGCGTCTTTGTGAGACGCGGTGTGGGTGAACGGATGATCTCCGCATGTGTAGTTCCCACCGTAAAGCATGGAGGAGGAGGTGTTATGGTGCTTTGCTGTTGACACAGTCTGTGATTTATTTAGAATTCAAGGCACACTTAACCAGCATGGCTACCACAGCATTCTGCAGCGATACGCCATCCCATCTGGTTTAGGCTTATTTGTTTTTCAACAGGACAATGACCCAACACACCTCCAGGCTGTGTAAGGGCTATTTACCAAGAAGGAGAGTGATGGAGTGCTGCATCATATGACCTGGCCTCCACAATCCCTCGACCTCAACCCAATTGAGATGGTTTGGGATGAGTCGGACGGCGGAGTGAAGGAAAAGAAGCCAACAAGTGCTCAGCATATGTGGGAACTCCTTCAAGACTGTTGGAAAAACATTCCAGGTGAAGCTGGATGAGAGAATGCCAAGAGTGTGCAAAGCTGTCATCAAGGCAAAGGGTGGCTATTTGAAGAATATCAAATATATTTTGATTTGTTTAACACGTTTTTGGTTACTACATGATTCCATGTGTTATTTCATAGTTTTGATGTCTTCACTATCATTCTACAATGTAAAAAATAGTAAAAATAAAGAAAAACCCTTGAATGAGTAGGTGTGTCCAAACTTTTGACTGGTACTGTATATTTTTTTAAATATTCAAGATTCATGGAAACAGACCAAAGACCTACCTGGATAGGAAATGTGCACCTGCTCAGGCTGGGTTCCAATGGGAGGAACACCAAGCACTAGCAGGGGTGCCAAGCTCAGCGCAACGAACACAGCACCAACAACAGACACCATCTTTGCTCTGTCTGGTCTACTCCTGCACAGTCCTGAGGGAAAAGGAGAGGTGAAATGCACACAGTAGGACATGGATACCGGTAATCTACTGCTGTGTCTGCAGTCCCATGACTTGTGTTGCCCTCTCATACAATGTCACATGATGTCAATTAAAACATGTAGGCTAGTTAAACTCACTAGACTATGCTTCCCTTCAATGAAACCCAGCCTTTCAGGATACAAATGGTCTCAATTAGGCTACAGAAAACTGTGCCAGATACATATTATTCTACAGTAGTGCTAGTGTACTGCACACAGTCAATCAGTCAGTGTGTCTCTGATGAGGAAATCAGAATCAGTTGACCAAACTGATGAAACAGCAGCCAAACCTGTGAAGTCAGCAAATGCAGTGTGGCAAGGCATGATGAGTCAATAAAAGCAGCTGATGTTGTTTGTGATTGTAGATGTGTGCTCATTTAAAGTACAAGTCATTTGCTTTGAGTTAATCTGTTCTTGCATTGGCTTTCTAGCTGATGAGAACTGTATCACGTTATGATTGCCTCCTGCATAAAAGTATACAAGAAGCCTTAACATGCTATTAAAAATGTGAACTATGATTCTCTTTTAAAATAGTATTTTAGAGTGAAGCAGTGAAAGATCCAATCTACTATGAGAATAGGATAAACCTAAAAAAGTGATCAAAAATAGATTATTCATTCTGTATTTGAAGCAATTAAGATTTATATTTTGAAATCGAATGCACTAAACACGTTGAACACTAGTAGGTAGACAACAATAATCCAGTATGCCTATTGAACATTGAGCGCATTTATGAATCCCCAATATCGTCCACCAGCCGACTCTCTCTCTCTCTCTCTCGGCAATTATAGCCTGGGGACGAGGTTATTGAATCCCCAACACAGTTTCTGGTCATAGTTCAGGAAAGGAACCGGGGCTCCGTTTGGGTTAAAAAAACCAAGATGAAAAGGATAGCAAAACCAGCCTCATGAGATCAGAATATGACTTCTTAGAAAGTATATCAACACTGACACGTAGGTGATTGCAGCATTAGCAAGCTAGCTAGTACAGTAAGTTAGTTCGAGGAAGTGTTATTACAAACAACGTTATATGTGCTCATCATCTGTAACGTTAGCTATCCTTCCACATTCTACTGCTGTCTCGAGCTCTTTGTCAGCTGTGCTACTGCTGCTAACAGCTGACGCGGCTAGCAGACAGCAGCAAATGCTAACTGCAATGCCGGATTTACTGGCTGATAACTGTAAGAGAGATATGTATCGTGATAATTGCAAGCTTACATTAGCTTCCTATAAATATAAATGCGCAAAAAACATTAGCTAGACAGACAAACTTGCCCTCACCTTTTCTGGCTACGTCATTATTCAAAATAACAACAATGTGCCAACGAAGAATTGTGGGTAACGCCAGTTTACCCAGCTAGTGTGTAATCATTACTTCAAGCGGTTGCAAAATGCTCTGTTTCGCAACGAAAACGAGTGTTTCTATTGGACAGATTCAGGTAGTTCCCTCCCTGTTTGCTGAACCTGTCTAATTGGCCACAGTTTGGAGTAATGATTACACAGCTGCTTTCCCAATATAGTGTATGTAGGCCCATAGACAAACCTGGGAATAATTTAGCCTTTTTTAAATGTATGTGTATGTTAAATGTGGTGTGATTAAGGTTCCCACTTGGCTGTCAGCCCTTCAATCAGTTATTTTATTCTCTCTCACTGTGGATATTCCCAGAGCCATTTACAGTGCTTTGTGTGTGTGAGGAGTTTTGATGTGCATTGTGTGGAAGACCCACCATCTCACTATTAGTCAGAGGAAGCAGCCAGCCACAGGGAGGACTTACGATGTGGCCAACAAGGAGAACGAAATGGCCTGTGTGCAGGACATGTAAGAGATCTTCTACATGGACCCATGGGAGTTTCCACCCACAGCTCTTTTGTCCCACAGAATCCAAGACACTTGTGTGTTTGTTGATTTTCCTCCAGTGATAACAAAAACATACATTTCTAATGTATTTTTCTGGGTAAAAAGCAATGATTACAATTTAAGTTTCATGCCATTTACAGTGCCTTCGGAAAGTATTCAGACCCCTTGACTTTTTCCACATTTTGTTATGTTACAGCCTTATTCTAAAATGTATTAAATTGTTTTTTTCCCCCTCATCAATACAATACCCCATAATGACAAAGCAAAAACAAGTTTATCGAAATTTTAGCAAATATATTACAAATTAAAAACAGAAATATCATATTTACATAAGTATTCAGACACTTTAATCAGTACTTTGTTGAAGCACCTTTGGCAGCGACTACAGCCTCAAGTCTTCTTGGGTATGACACTACAAGCTTGGCACACCTGTATTTGGGGAGTTTCTCCCATTCTTCTCTGCAGATCCTCTCAAGCTCTGTCAGGTTAAATGGGGAGCATTGCTGCACAGCTATTTCCAGGTCTCTCCAGAGATGTTAGATCGGTTTCAAGTCCGGGCTCTGGCTGGGCCACTCAAGGACATTCAGAGACTTGTCCCGAAGCCACTCCTGTGTTGTCTTGGCTGTGTGCTTAGGGTCGTTGTCCTGTTGGAAGGTGAACCTTCGCCCCAGTCTGAGGTCCTGAGCGCTCTGGAGCAGGTTTTCATCAAGGATCTCTCTGTACTTTGCTCCGTTAATCTTTGCCTCAATCCTGACTAATCTCCCAGTGCCTGCCACTGAAAAACTTCACCACAGCATGATGCTGCCACCACCATGCTTCACCGTAGGGATGGTGCCAGGTTTCCTCCAGACGTGGCGCTTGGCATTCAGGCAAAAGAGTTCAATCTTGATTTCATCAGAGAAGAGAATCTTGTTTCTCATGGTCTGAGAGTCTTTAGGTACCTTTTGGCAAACTCTAAGCGGGCTGTCATGTGCCTTTTACTGAGGAGTGGCTTCCGTCTGGCCACTCTACTATAAAGGCCTGATTGGTGGAGTGCTGCAGAGATGGTTGTCCTTCTGGAAGGTTCTCCCATCTCCACAGAGGAACTCTAGAGCTCTGTCAGAGTGACCATCGGGTTCTTGGTCACCTCCCTGACCAAAGCCCTTCTCCCCCGATTGCTCAGTTTGGCCGGGCGGCCAGATTTAGGAAGAGTCTCGGTGGTTCCAAACTTCTTCCATTTAAGAATGATGGAGGCCACTGTGTTCTTGGGGACCTTCAATGCTGCAGAAATGTTTTGGTACCCTTCCCCAGATCTGTGCCTCGACACAATCCTGTCTCGGAGCTCTACGGACAATTCCTTCGACCTCATGGCTTAGTTTTTGCTGTGTCATGCACTGTCAACTGTGGGACCTTTTTTTTTAGACAGTTGTGTGCCTTTCCAAATCATGACCAATCAATTGAATTTACCACAGGTGGACTCCAATCAAGTTGTAGAAACATCTCAAGTATGATCAATGGAAACAGGATGCACCTGAGCTTAATTTCGAGTCTCATAGCAAAGGGTCTGAATACTTATGTAAAACAATTTTTTAATTTTTTAATTTTTTCATTCATTTGCAAACATTTCTAAAAACCTGTTTTTGCTTTGTCATTATGGGGTATTGTGTATAGATTGCTGAGGATTTTTGTTGTATTTAATCAATTTTAGAATAAGGCTATAACGTAACAACATTTAGAAAAGTCAAGGGGTCTGAATACTTTCTGAAGGCACTGTAAGTATTATTTATCTCATCTACCCCGATAGTCTTGATGATGAGTCAGAGTCATCCAGCGTTTCCATTGGCTGTTGTGTTGACCTTTTCCCTCTAGTGAAAAAGGACCTCACTAGTCCATATGAAGAGTGAGTACCACTGTTAATGACACACTATCCATTACAAATTCTTGACAATCCAACCAAACTGATCCCATGTTATCTTGCAGGTACCTGGTAATTGGTTTACGATGGGTACAATCATTGTTGAAACATTGATGGCCAGAGCTCTCAGCAAATCGAGGTACTGACACTCAATCTATGGATTGGTAGGTTTATTCAACATGCTGATTGGGAGCTACGAAAATGTGTATTCTTTGTGGAGCAGGCACGCCCCGTGTCTAACTAAAACTTCTCTGTTTTTAATGATCATTGCAGAAATGTTCAAGTGTTCAAATGGCAGCTAAAGGAGCTGTGGAACCAGGAGCCTTATTTGAGTTCAGTTCCAGGAAGTCCAGGTGAAATAGCAAAGGGGCGTTCTAAGTTTAATAATGCCATTGTTGACTTAAAATTAGGGTTGCAAAGCTACCGGTAATTTACCAAAGTTACCAGAATCTTCAGTAATTTAGGTAATTAACAGAAAATATATGGCAATCTATCGTAACTTTGGTAATTTATACCTTAATAACTTTTTTAAAATGTATTCATATATAGTATTAATTTATTATATCTGTGTCCATATTGTCCATGAGTTTAGTAGATCATACATAGTTCAAAAGAAAATAGCCTAATTAATGAATAAAAGCATCTAATCAACAATGGCATTATTTTAAATCAAGTCAGCAACTCTTCCAACATGGACTTTTTTCCCAAATGCCACCAGTTTGATGCCAAAGCAGTTTCCAGTAATATACCCTCCCATTGCAACACAAATAGTGTTAGTGAAGTATGTCACCCTCGTTCCTGTTTTTTTCAGGCTATAGACTCTTACCTGTTACAGCTGCCCTGCTTGCAATGGTGGCCCATGCCAAGCTCAAGTCCTGATGACTTTTTTCAAAATTCCCATGTTGAAACAACTCATAAGAACAAAATGGACTTGTGACTCAATGAACTGCACTACTTGAAGTTTTATGCGGGGAAAAACATTACCTGGTTCATTTGAGGGCTACTAAAGAGTGTCTATCCGACTCAGAGACACACTCCAGTCAATGATTGTGCCTTATTCTTTTTAATGGTCCAGTGCAGTCAAAACAGGATTTCCCTGTGTTTTATATACAGTGGGGAGAACAAGTATTTGATACACTGCCGATTTTGCAGGTTTTCCTACTTACAAAGCATGTAGAGGTCTGTAATTTTTATCATAGGTACACTTCAACTGTGAGAGACGGAATCTAAAACAAAAATCCAGAAAATCACATTGTATGATTTTTAAGTAATTAATTTGCATTTTATTGCATGACATATGTATTTGATCACCTACCAACCAGTAAGAATTCCGGCTCTCACAGACCTGTTAGTTTTTCTTTAAGAAGCCCTCCTGTTCTCCACTCATTACCTGTATTAACTGCACCTGTTTGAACTCGTTACCTGTATAAAAGACACCTGTCCACACACTCAATCAAACAGACTCCAACCTCTCCACAATGGCCAAGACCAGAGAGCTGTGTAAGGACATCAGGGATAAAATTGTAGACCTGCACAAGGCTGGGATGGGCTACAGGACAATTGGCAAGCAGCTTGGTGAGAAGGCAACAACTGTTGGCGCAATTATTAGAAAATGGAAGAAGTTCAAGATGACGGTCAATCACCCTCGGTCTGGGGCTCCATGCAAGATCTCACCTCGTGGGGCATCAATGATCATGAGGAAGGTGAGGGATCAGCCCAGAACTACACGGCAGGACCTGGTCAATGACCTGAAGAGAGCTGGGACCACAGTCTTAAAGAAAACCATTAGTAACACACTACGCTGTCATGGATTAAAATCCTGCAGTGCACGAAAGGTCCCCCCGCTCAAGCCAGCGCATGTCCAGGCCCGTCTGAAGTTTGCCAATGACCATCTGGATGATCCAGAGGAGGAATGGGAGAAGGTCATGTGGTCTGATGAGACAAAAATAGAGCTTTTTGGTCTAAACTCCACTCGCCGTGTTTGGAGGAAGAAGAAGGATGAGTACAACCCCAAGAACACCATCCCAACAGTGAAGCATGGAGGTTGAAACATCATTCTTTGGGGATGTTTTTCTGCAAAGGGGACAGGATGACTGCACCGTATTGAGGGGAGGATGGATGGGGCCAAGAATCGCGAGATCTTGGCCAACAACCTCCTTCCCTCAGTAAGAGCATTGAAGATGGGTCGTGGCTGGGTCTTCCAGCATGACAACGACCCGAAACACACAGCCAGGGCAACTATGGAGTGGCTCCGTAAGAAGCATCTCAAGGTCCTGGAGTGGCCTAGCCAGTCTCCAGACCTGAACCCAATAGAAAATCTTTGGAGGGAGCTGAAAGTCCGTATTGCCCAGCGACAGCCCCGAAACCTGAAGGATCTGGAGAAGGTCTGTATGGAGGAGTGGGCCAAAATCCCTGCTGCAGTGTGTGCAAACCTGGTCAAGACCTACAGGAAACGTATGATCTCTGTAATTGCAAACAAAGGTTTCTGTACCAAATATTAAGTTCTGCTTTTCTGATGTATCAAATACTTATGTCATGCAATAAAATGCAAATTATTACTTAAAAATCATACAATGTGATTTTCTGGATTTTTGTTTTAGATTCCGTCTCTCACAGTTGAAGTGTACCTATGATAAAAATTACAGACCTCTACATGCTTTGTAAGTAGGAAAACCTGCAAAATCGGCAGTGTATCAAATACTTGTTCTCCCCACTGTACATATGGACACACCTACTCATTCTGCATTTTATACAACAGAACTGTGCTGTAGTAGTTGTTACGGTCACAAATCTGTCCTCTCAGACAGACTAATGTCCCAGCACTCGGCTCGAACAGAGTAATCCAAACACATTTCCTTTATTACAACAGCAGACCGCTGCTTTGGACATCACTCAACAAATCATTATCCAAATGTTTTCCTATGTTACACTTCTCTCGCTTGTTGGTTGTGTTTCTTGAGTGGAACCCTCATATTTAGTGCTCTTTGATGAATAGCAAACGTGAGTAAGTAGGTAAAACATGTGAGGCATGTTCTATGGGGTTAATGAATTAAAATGGTCAAAATACACATTTTCATGGTTATATTGGATAGTACAATGAAAAGGCCTGAGGATCCCGCAGTTGCTCTTAGTCCTTTGTGTTGCAGTCCATAGTCTTTGAAGATAGGCATGGGTGGTATCCAGATTTTCATACTGTTTCTGTACCATACTTGGGTATACGGTATTACTGAATGTGCACACAAGGGGCGCTATTTAAAAAAAGTACCAGTCAAAAGTTTGGACACCTACTCATTCCAGGGTTTTTCTTTATTTTTACTATTTTCTACATTGTAGAATAATAGTGAAGACATCAAAACTATGAAATAACACATATGGAATCATGTAGTAACCAAAAAAGTGTTAAACAAATCAAAATATATTTTATATTTGAGATTCTTCAAAGTAGCCACCCCTTGTCTTTGATGACAGCTTTGCACACTCTTGGCATTCTCTCAACCAGCTTCATGAGGTAGTCACCTGGAATGCATTTCAATTAACAAGTGTGCCTTGTTAAAAGTTAATTTGTGAAATTTATTTCCTTCTTAATGCGTTTAAGCCAATCAGTTGTGTTGTGACAAGGTAGGGGTGGTATACAGAAAATAGCCCTATTTGGTATAAGTCCATATTATGGCAAGAACAGCTCAAATAAGCAAAGAGAAATGACAGTCCATCATTACTTTAAGACATAAAAGTCAGTCAATCCGGAAAATTTCAAGAACTTTGAACGTTTCTTCAAGTGCAGTCGCAAAAACCATCAAGCGCTATGATGAAACTGGCTCGCATGAGGACTGCCACAGGAAAGGAAGACCCAGAGTTACCTCTGCTGCAGAGAATACGTTCATTAGAGTTAACTGCACCTCAGATTTCAGCCCAAATAAATGCTTCACAGTGTTCAAGTAACAGACACATCTCAACATCAACTGTTCAGAGGAGACTGCATGAATCAGGCCTTCCTGGTTGAATTGCTGCAAAGAAACCACTACTAATGGACACCAATAAGAAGAAGAGACTTGCTTGGGCCAAGAAACATGAGCAATGGACATTAGACCGGTTCCAACCGCTGTGTCTTTGTGAGACGCAAAGTAGGTGAACAGATGATCTCCAGATGTGTGGTTCCCACCGTGAAGCTTGGAGGAGGAGGTGTGATGGTGTGGGGGAGCTTTGCTGGTGACACTGTCTGTGATTTATTTAGAATTCAAGGCACACTTAACCAGCATGGCTACCACAGCATTCTGCAGCGATACGCCATCCCATCTGGTTTGCGCTTAGTGGGACTGTCATTTGTTTTTCAACAGGACAATGACCCAACACACCTCCAGGCTGTGTAAGGGCTATTTGACAAGAAGGAGAGTCATGGAGTGCTGCATCAGATGACCTGGCCTCCACAATCACCCGACCTCAAACCAATTGAGATGGTTTGGGATGAGTTGGACCGCAGAGTGAAGGAAAAGCAGCCAACAAGTGCTCAGCATATGTAGGAACTCCTTCAAGACAGTTGGAAAAGCATTCCTCATGAAGCTGGTTGAGAGAATGCAAAAAGTGTTTAACTCTTTTTTGGTTGCTACATGATTCTGTGTGTTATTTCATAGTTTTGATGTCTTCACTATTATTCTACAATGTAGAAAATAGCAAAAATAAAGAAAAACCCTTGAATGAGTAGGTGTGTCCAAACTTTTGACTAGTACTGTATATTTCCACACTATGAGGTTGGAATAATAATGTTAAATTGTGAAAATTATAATAATGCCCTTTTAGTGTAAGAGCTGTTTAAAAATACTGCCTGAAATATCTGACTGTTTTAGTGGGATGGGGTTTTAGTCTTCCATGGTACTATCACTATGCGGTAAATTAGTTAATAGACCAATGAGAAAGAGAATTCCAAACCTCTCTGCCAATGACAGCTAATTTCCACTCAAATCACTTCCAGGCAGTCCTAGCAAAGTTCTTGCTGAAAGAAATTGCTCTTTGCTAAGAAGCTATTTTTGTTTCTTTTTGACCATTTTAATTGACAACAATCACAGTAAAGTACATAATTGTTACCCAGAAATGATTTGATATTGAGATAAAAAAAATGGCTGCATTGGATCTTTAAAGCATTTTAATTGAATGAGTATTTGAGATGACCACAATGCTATCATGACTTCACCTCAATGGCACAAATTTAATCCAAAGGATTAAAGTGCATAGAACTGTCTGGTTACAGTAGTGAACCAATTGAAATTGTGTTTAATTAATTACTTGTTTTATTGTAAACAAATAAATGATTTTCATATAAAAATGTCAGAAATTTAATTTTGTCCTGTGTGGCTCAGTTGGTAGAACATGGCACTTGCAATGCCAGGGTTGTGGGTTCGATTCCCACGTGGGACCAGTACGAAAAACAGTACAAAAATGTATGCACTCACTTCTGTAAATCGCTCTTGATAAGAGCGTCTGCTAAATAACTAAAATGTTAATGTGATACCTTTGTGTTCAGCCAGTCAGTGGTGTTTCAGAGTGGGATGGTTAGCTGGTATTTGATGGGACCTGAGAGAGAAGAGGTGAGTCCCAGTGGGAGTGTTTTGGCCAGCGCTGACAGCTCCAGAGTGACTGCCGACGCTCAGCAGTACAGCACAAGTAGTTAATAGCAACCGCCACTGCTGAAGGTTTCAATTATGTTTAGTCAGGCTATTGAAATACTCCAAGCCCTAGTCACAGCCCATAACTAGGACCCAGAGTATAAATAATGCCTGAAGTTTTTCTTGGTCAGGTCACATGGTTAGAAAATATTCCTGGCCCTATTCATAAGGTACATCTACAGTATGTGTTGTGTTAGTGTAGAGGTCCTCCAGACATTAAATTCACTGTTTGAATCATCATGAAGATAAGTTGTTTAGGCCTTATCGTTTATGGCGTTGTTTATGACTATCTTTGTATTTAATCTATCTTTCTAGTTTTTCTATCAAAAATAGCTTTAAAATACTTCTTTGCATAACAGGGACAGGGTGATACAGTATGTGTGAGGATGGGGGAACACATTTAGGAGATGCCAGTTTTAAAAGTTGTGTTTGTTGTTCTACTTGATAAACTAAAACAAACTGACATTGCAACACCAAGACAAAGGTTGTAATCTCTTCTTCCCAGGAGTGGAGGAAGTGTTTGGAAGGCGAGATATTAGGCAACCATCCCACTTGACACAGATAAGTGGAAGCTGGCTTTAACCCTTGGTGTTTCCAATTGTGACGTGAAGCTGAGGCTGAAGTCCAGTCGTGACTGGCCTGTAGAGGCTGTGTGGAATGGACTGCACCTCAGTGGACTGGTTGGCAGCCTGGATAGCCTTGTTTGCTCTCTCTCTCTCTCACTCTCTCTCTCTCCGTATAGTGCTATCAAAGTACAATGTGTGTATGACAGTTTATAGTCGCAGAGCGCAGCACACACACACACACACACAGTGGAACAGTAACAGTGAAGGTAAGTGTTCATACTTTACAACATTTCAGTAAGATTAATTGTTCCTGAAGTACCTGTTCTAGACATTGTATGCAGTGGACTGTTCTGCTAAGAACTGCGATGGGGAGAATTACAGATTTCTGTCCATGTATGAAATTGCCAATTACATGTATCTCTTGAATGGGCGTAACAAAATTGTTAGAGAAATTGCATTGCCACTCAGTATGGATGGTCAATTGACTCCACATGTCTGTTCACCTGAAGGATCTTCCAGTTAGAAGATGCAGAGTTTTGGGACATGGACAGTGGCAGTAGCAGCAGCACTGGTGATCAGTCTGATGGGAGTTCACACTAAACACCTGGTAGCTGAAAACACCCATCTCCTGACCTCTGAAGAGCACAAGATGGTCCTCAACCAGGGAATGAAAGGTATGGATGACATTACTGTATTATTGATGTAATGTAATTGCCAACATAATGTAGAGATGGATTCTACAGTAGGACTTATGGCTGTATCTGTAGTTGTCGTGTCGTTTCAGTGGGATTTAATTTGGGCTTCAAATTGTATTGATTGACAAGAGCTTTACTCTTGATGATGTGGAACGTGTAGCCTTATGTGTGTGCTGCTTGAAGTATCATATCTTTGCTGATAGACAAACTAGTTTGTTTTGAATATCTGTTATTCTGGAGGTAGTTCAAATGCCAAAGCGTAGACCGAATGATTTACTGACCCTTCTACACTTCATACTTGACGACGTTGTTTCAATAAACTTCTTACACGTTTCACGTTTCTTACCTGCTGTTGAGAACAATAGTGTATCGTAGTGACACACTTTTGTCAGACTAAACAGCAGAGATACTACGATAGAGCATCAATGTTTGACTACGCTTATCATGGACACGTTGAAATCCCATGTATTTTGAAACTGCCAACAGTCATGAAGATTAGCCCATCGATGATAAGACAGGGAGTGGCAGGTTAATCATCATGGTCCATCATCATTCAATACCTTGAATAGGTGTAAACAATGCTTAGAAAAATAAATCCAGATTATCTGCTTTGATTTACTCAACTTGTCCTCATGTTACTCTTCAACTCTTTGTGCAATCTACGTACTGTGGGTGTTAATTCAGTTTGTTGCTATTTCACCCTGCAGAGTATCCCAGGGACTGTTATGAGATGTTGATGGGTTCAGGGGGTCAGGCCAGAGATGGAGTGTACTTGATTCAGCCAGGTGACTACCCCATCCTGGCCTACTGTGCCATGCAAGAGGGTGGTTGGACTGTAGTGCAGCACATCACAGTTAACAGCAGCGTGGACTTCGACCGCACCTGGGTCGAATACAAGCAGGGTTTTGGGGTCCTGAATGGTGACCACTGGCTGGGGAACGAACACCTCCACCACCTCACCCGAGGGCCTGGACGCTACAAACTGGGGGTCAAACTGGTGGACAAAGATGCCATCGCCAAGATGGGCGAGTATGACCCTTTCATGGTGGAGGACGAGCGGTCCGGGTTCAGGCTGCGTCTGGGTCTGTTCCAGGGCTCTGCCTTAGACGCTCTCACCCAGGACACAGAGAATTACCTGCATGACAACCAGAGGTTTACCACCAAGGACCGAGACAACGACAACTACTTCCAAAACTGTGCTAAGCTGGAGTTCCAGGGTGTGGCGGGAGGGGGCTGGTGGTACGATGCCTGTGCTGGGGCCAACCTCAACCGCAGGAACGTGATCTACTGGCAGAAGGACTGCAACAAGGAGCACCTGTGTAAATACGCCTGGATGATGGTAAAGCCCTCAGACACAGTAAAGGTGGTCCACACTGGGGACTGTAAGAAGGATGAATTGTGAGTCAGTTGTCTGGAGATTAGGTTGATCCATACCATCTGTGGTTATACTAATGTAGTGGTTTTCAAAACATTGTTTACGTAATAGAGACAATAGTTCAACACATTTAATTCAGAAATACGCAGAGACATACGATCACAAAATACTGTAAAGAAAACAGTTCAGTATCAACTGATTTTTCACACATTTTTTTAAGTAATAAAAAAAAAGCAATAGTTATTTTGGGGATTTCATACATTTAAGTCTCCCCCTCTAACTTTCCCCAAAAATTGCAAGTGCAGTTTTCTGTATGTCTAAATGATCACAGATACAAAATATTTTGTGGTCATGATATCATAGCTTATTACACATGTAAAACCACTTTTGCAGTATTTATTTACTCACTCACCTAATATCACTGAATGAATGTGTTGGTTGTTGGCACAAAAAACAAGATGTACTGGATCAAAATTAGATTACATCCAGTAAGTTTACAGTAGATTTTCTTATGACACATTTGATTAAATAACTAGATTTGAAAGTGGTTCTGGCCAATTGAAATTCTGTAAATGTAATGTCTAGCAATGGGTACATGAGAATGATACAGTGCAGCACAGAATGACCAGAACAAAAGCCTGTATCCTGAGTACAGACAGACATTAAACACATTCTAATTAATACATTTACGTCATTTAGCAGACGCTCTTATCCAGAGCGACTTACAGGAGCAATTAGGGTTAAGTGCCTTGCTCAAGGGCACATCGACAGATTTTTCACCTAGTCGGCTTGGGGATTAGAACCAGTGACCTTTCGGTTACTGGCACAACGCTCTTAACCACTAAGCTACCTGCCGCCCCTATTCATGACACAGAACAGTGCATGAATCAAACCCTACGGTCTACCACTCAGTATGGATGTAATTGTTGAAGGCTGTCACTGTACTGAGTGACATATAGTGACCCTGGGCAGATGAAATCACTCCCTGATATGATCCCATTCTTGGGCCTGAACTGAACCCACAATGATTGATTAAAGGCTATTCCTTATCTGACAAGTAATTTATCAGGTGTACACTTAATGAGGAAGTGTCCCATGAACTATTGCATGAAATCACGTGTTTTACACAGTTTATGTGCACATTAAAGCTGCTGAGTCGAGAGTAAGACTAATCATTATAAAATAGAATTTGATACTGAAACCTCAGCATTTACTTTAATCAAATCTCTTCTCCTCTGTTTCTGTGCTGTCTGGCTTCATTTGGACTGAGGGATGAATACATTTGTACTGTATATGTGTTTGTGCTTGTGTGTTGGTGGAAAGATTGGCTGTTGAATGTTTGATTATTAGTATCTGACTAAAGTCAATGGTACATGTGAACAAAGGCTTTGATGATCAGAGTGTACAATTGTTTGTTATCCAGCTCACTCTGAACTCAAGTCAAGAACTGTGATAGCCCTTAAAACGAACACAATGTAGTCTAACACAATACCTATAAAACAGTCAAAACATGTTTTTCTATGAAATAGCTCACTTTTTTGTGCATATTGGGTTATTTTTTATATTTACATTTTCAATTATGTATTGGTGTACAGTATCAGCATTTGGGGCAAGATTATCAAACACTTTTGTATTCCTTGTGAGCAGTGATAAAGGTATTGATTAAAGAACAATACCATGAACAAACTAGAGTCTTGTCTCTAACCTTTGTACTTTTGACACACCCTACTTGTAGACATAATTCAAGTACTAAACATAAATATTTCCACATGTATCGAGTCATATAGTCTTCATGGCTCATGTTAGTTTGCTGCTCACTACAGGGTTTTGCCCGTACCAGTAGAGTTTCTCTTCCACTCTCTTTTTCTTCCACTGACAGAGCAGCAGCATGCGGAAGGTCTTCTGGAAGGTCTTGTTACAGAGGGCATAGCACATTGGGTTGACTGTGCTGTTGACATAGCACAGCCAGTAGCCCAGGTGCCAGAGAGACACAGGGATACAGTCAGAGCAGAAGGTGGAGATGAGCACCATGATGTTGTAGGGTGTCCACGTCAGGATAAAGGCCAGCAGGATAGCACTAAGAGTCTGGGCAGCCTTCCTCTCCTTGATCAACACCATCCTCTTCCTCTTGGTCAGCTGGATCTTCAGAGTGGTGTCTATTGGCTTGGAGGAGGAAGTAGAGGGTGGAGCACTCATGGAGTCGGCTGAGGAGAAAGATGATGGGGCCATGTTGATGTTCCCGTTCTTGCTTTGCTGGGCACCGCTGATAGTGTCTTTGGGAACTGGTTTAAACTTGTAGGACACACACTTCTTGCTCTTCTGGGAGTTGGTCTTGGGTGGCGCGTGGAAGAAGTTGTCCTCCTCATAACTGCTGAGCTGTTCTTTATCACAGCCCGCTGCGCCCGTGCTCTGCCCACACTCCTGGTTCCGGTAGGTGGGCTGGACAGACTCCCGGGGACACGGGCCTCTCCTCGTCCTCTGAGGAGGCGTAGCTGTTGAAGGTGGTCAGCTGGTCACTCTTGGACCACTCGTCGTTGGTGACTGCGGCTGATTTGGCTGCATTGCTCCTGTTGGAGGAGGACCAGGAGGCCTGGGTTCTATCCCGGGAGGCAGAGCTGAGCTGCTTGCAGTTGAAGCAGGATCTAATGATGGTTTTCTGGGGCTTGGTGACACCAGCGTCTGTGGAACTGTTAATGCCCTGGAGTTCAGCGAGGTCCTTGGTGCGACGTTCCGTCTCCTTGTAGATCCGACAGTACAGGATGGTCATGATTGACACTGGGATGTAAAACGCAGCAATGGCTGTCCCAAATGTTATCACTGGCTCCGAGAAGAACTGGATCTGACACTGCCTTTCAGGGACTGTCCTTTTCCCCACAAAATACTGCCAGCACAGTATGGGAGGGGCCCACAGGATGAGGGACACCAGCCAGGCCATGCCTATCATGACCCCAGCCCGTTTGGGGGTGCGCTTGGCTCTGTAGGTCAGGGGTCTGGTGATGGAGAAGTACCGGTCAAAACTGATGACCAGCAGGTTCATCACTGACGCATTACTGGCCACGTAGTCCAAAGCCAACCAGAGGTCACAGGCCACGCTCCCCAGTGCCCAGTATCCCATCAGTATGTAGGAGGTGTAGAGGTTCATAGAGAACACACCTATAATGAGGTCAGCTACAGCCAAACTCAACAGATAGTAGTTGTTGACTGTCTTCAGCTGGCTGTTTACCTTAAACGACAACATCACCAGGACGTTCCCCACTATCGTAATCAGGCTCACGATGGCCGAAACAGTTGCTATTGTTATGACCTCCCATAGACTGTGTGTGACAGGGTGGATGTCTGTTGTATTGCCATTTATGGATGAGTTCTGCATTCCCCCACCTTCCATGTTGTTTCTCTCACGTTGTCCTTATTGTGGTATGAGTGGTATGGCTATGAGAGAGTAATCTGTTGAGTACGCCATCTTGAGTAGGATATCCTAAAAAGAAGAACAAATAAAGTGAGTTAATAAAATAACAAATTCAGTTTACAAGTGATCTCCTCATGCAAAGTCAAACTCCATGTACAGTACATAAAATAAAGGGTAGTGCCACAAATAGCCACTAGATGGCAATAATAATCAACAATCATCCCCATGTGACTAGTAAGTAGGGCACCAATGCTCACACTGGCCAAAGACGGGGTCCATGCACCTTACAAAACAACTTGGTAAGTCGGTTTAAGATCTCAATGTAAATAGCATGTGATAACAGCACCTAAAAAGTATGCATGTTTGTGCTGTGTCATATTAAAGTGTATAATTCTATTTTTGCTGCAAAAAACCTCAGGTAGAGCTGTGTCACACATGAATGCATGTATGAACATGTTAGGGCCATTAGGTCATATCAGCACTCAGGTCTCTTTTGCTCTAGTTCTTGTGTCTTCATCTAGTATGTATGAATAAGTGTCTGTATTGAGGTCTCTCATAGACAGTTTGTTACAGTACAAGGTACATTAGCAGACAAAGAGGCTTAGCAGATGAACACATGGGTCATTGTAGGCAGTCTAGCCAAACAGCTGTGACACCTTTTAAATCCAGGTCATTAAAATAACTAGTCCGTTGCTCATTAATATCAGCAAGCATGTTTCTTGTCTGTATTAAAAGGATAAGTGGCTCTCTGTAACCAGGGTGACGATGAAGTGATTGCTTCTGATTCTGAATGACGAACACTGATATCAGTGCAGCTAAATAAAATGTGGTTAAGCTTTGAACTGATGGAACAATCAACAAACAGACAAAAGATGGCCATGACGTTTCTGTCCCAGAGGTTGTTTGAATTGTCTGGCGAGGCAGTGGTTGTATCAGGTGTTTTCTCTGCCTCCTGGCTGAGTTTACCCAGCAGAAAGAAGAGCAGCATCAAAGTACTTGGGTCACTTAGAGCGCCATATGTACTGGCCAGGATTGATAAAACACAATTAAACCTGGGCCTTTGCAGTTTCTCCACACACCTTTATGAGATGAATCCACCTCAGATCACTATGGGGATGCTGGGTGTGCTAAATCCCAAAGCTTTGGCAGATGTCTTTGTCTCTATTTTTCTATCTGTGTTCCTGGCTTCAGACTCTCCACTCTGCTTCTTAATGACTTGACTGGGAATTGTTTATTTTAATGTCAAATTACAGGTTACCAGAATTGTCCTTTATACACAAACACTCTTTCTCCAATGTGACCTACAGATTCTGATGTGTCATATGTCAAATGGCCTCCATGGTAATTGAACATGCAACCTTGGAACCGATTCTAACCAATTGGGTTAAAATGGAGTCCTAAATCTAGCCCTGGAGACAGGAACTTCAAGTGCTCATTTGAACATTCTGCCCATTTCTTCCTGGCAGGTTATTCAGTGTAATGATCATGGACTCAGGCATATGTCAATGTAATAGCACCCTTAGAGACTGTGGAATGAAATAATGATTAGAGTGATTGCTATCATTTATTCTTCCCTGTGTTTCTCTGTCACATCTGACAGCAATCGTTTATTCCTGTCATTTCATTTTGTTCTTGACAATAATGTAGGAAGGAAAAGAAAACCACAGCTCTAATGATATTGAGATGAAGAAATGATGTTGTTAAGAGAGATGTGAGCAACATGTAGTGTTTCATATTTGATCTACACTGAGTATACCAAACATTAGGAGCACCTTCCTGTTGAGCGTGAAAAACCCAGCAACGTTGCAGGTCTTGACACAAACCGGTGCGCCTGGCACCTACTACCATACCCCGTTCAAAGGCACTTCAATCTTTTGTCTCGCCCATTCACCCTCTGAATGGCACACATACACAATCCGTGTCTCAAATGTCTCCAGGCTTAAAAATCCTTCTTTAACCTGTCTCCTACCGTTCATCTACACTGATTGAAGTGGATTTAACAAGTGACATCAATAATGGATCATAGCTTTCACCTGGTCAGTCTGTGTCATTCTCAGTGTATAGGGTTGACTGTGTCTACTACCATGAAAATACATCTAATGGGAGATCAGGATGGTAGCATTTTAAGCATGTGCCATTGCCAACCTGTGCTATGTTTGAAACCTGTGCCTATGTGTTGCCATGAGCCTACAGTGGCTTGTGAAAGTATTCACCCCCCTTGGCATTTTTCCTATTTTGTTGCCTTACAACCTGGAATTAAAATTGATTTTCGGGGGGGTTGTATGTCACGTTCGTTGAATGACGGGTCAGACCAAGGCGCAGC